TTGTACCCATGTGGGGATTCGAACTCAAGTCTTCGGCGTGACAAGCAAACACTATAACCACAAGGCTACCCACCGCCCCTGTTAGGCATGAGTGAGTGAGTGAGTGAGTGAGTGAGTTTAGTTTTACGCCGCACTCAGCAATACTCCAGCTATATGGCGGCAGTCTGTAAATAATCAGTTCTGGACCAGACAACCCAGTGATCAACATCATGAGCATCGACCTGCACGATTGGGAACCAATGACGTGTCAACCAAGTCAGCAAGCCTGACCACGCAATCCCTCTTACAAGCATGGTTGGTGTATCGGTGGTCAGAGATTGTCAGTAGAGACGGTATCAGTGTTTACGAAGACTGGAGGTCAGAGATTGTCAGTGTCTAAAGTAGAGTCTGGATGTTTTGAGATCTTCCAAAACATCACTGTGATGGCAGTATCTGACATAGTCTGTCTCACAGTCCCTGAACCACATTAATTTCCCTACTGCCAAGCCCTCTCTGCAGTGCTAAAGCCCTAAATAAAGCAAGTCTAGATTTCCTCAGGTTCTGAATCTCTGGTCTCTCTAGGGCTCGTTTTCAATATAAATGGGCTTGTTTGTTACTATCAAAATCATATATTCAGAGACTAAGCCTTAGTCTATATCTGACACTACACAGCTCTGATCTTACCCTGTGTGAAGTGATGGTTGTTGAAACAAATGCTGTGGACCACCAATCTCAGCACCACACTGACAGGAGTGAGTTTGGTTTTACACCGCTTTTAGCAATATTCTTGTACCCATCTGGGGAATCGAAGCCGGGTCTTCAGCATGAAGAATGAACACTTTAACCGCTGGGCTACCCCTCCGCCCCACACTGACAGGAGATTGGATGAGCTGGCTCAACACCTGTCTGGTGATGTCTATCAGTCTAGTCTTGATTCAGCTATTCTTGACAACAGATGTTTTCAAATTGATGCAACAGAATCCTGGATATATTTTGGAGTAAGCCTGTTATATGGTGTTATATTTGTGACACAGATAGGACAGCCATGTATTCATGACAACTTAATGAAAATTTCTCAGGAAATGTCAGTAATGACAGGCTGTAGCAAGACTGGCAGAAAAACAGGCACAAAATCAGGATCAAGATTGTTGCAAGATTGGATCAAGATTGTTGCAAGACTGGATCAAGATTGTTGCAAGACTGGATCAAGATTGTTGCAAGACTGGCAGAAGATGGGACACAAAATCAGGATCAAGTCTGTTTCAAGACTGAAAGAAGACTGGAGACAAATCTGGACAGTCTTATCAGACTGATTTGATATTGCTGGAATATTGCTAAAAGCAGAAAAAACCCAACTCACTCACTCACTCTTCTTCACACCTCTGTGGGTCAACATGGCCACAGCAGTCCAGTGGGAGGAGGTCAGTGACAATTAAACCTGGATAATGTCTTCAAGATGTCTGTAACCTGACACCATCTGTTATCCCCACCCCTATGTGGTCTGCCCTTTCAACATGGTCACCACAGTCACCAGGTCAGTCAGGAATGTAGCCTTGTTGATGAATACCAGATGTTTGCAATAAGACTACAGCTTCATTTACCCTTGGTCAGTTCAATTCCTAGTCTGTCTCACAGTCCTTGAACCACATTATCAGGCCTACCAAAGAAAATGTTCCCACTGTACAGAAAAACGCAGAAAAGCCCACATTAATCGTGGAAATAGCAACATAAACATAATACCTTGCTACCGAAACAGTAAAAACGGCAACTTTAAATCGCTAACACTGCATCATAAAACGAGGAGCCCGCAACTTCGATTTTGCGCATGCGCACATGGAAGAGGAAGTCTCGACCGCATGTTGACATTTTCCAGCTTGGACAAAAGTTACATTCCTTTCTAAGTATTTCTGTTGTGTTATTTGGCATTTATCAACATGATATTTGTGTGCACACTTGTTTAGTTTACTTTCGATTCGTATGAAACGATTGACAGCAATTATTTCGACATATTTAATGCTTTTTCTACCCGAGGCGATTCACGGTGGCTCGGAAATCGGAATGACGCCCGGATCGTAATGCGCATGCGCAGTAGAGGTCAAAGTTCGCTGATATAAAAATGTTGCAGTTTCATAGTTTTTCGTTGCCGTTTTTACTGTTTCAGTAGCGAGGTATTATGTTTGTGTTGCTATTTCCACGATTAATGTGGGCTTTTCTGCGTTTTTCTGCATAGTGGGAAAGTTTTCTTTGGTAGGCCTGATTATTTTCCCTACTGCATCGCTTCCCTGCCATCCTCAAGCCCTAAATGAAGCAAGTCTAGATTTCCCAATCTCCTAACTCACTGGGGCTCCTTTTCAATTGTTTGTTTTAAACATATTTTATTCATGAGAAAAGGATTGGGTACAAGTTATACAACTTAGAACACCCTCTCCGTAGTATTTACATAGTATTATTTACATTCATTCTACAAGATGGACAGAGAAGAACAGAGCAGAAATATGGGGAAAAGAGGAACAATTGCAACAATTAAGAAAATCGTTTTGAATGACAAATATATGTTTGAACAATTTTAAATATGTTTTGATTTATGTGAACAGTCAGATCTGCATTGCCATGTAACAGTAACTCATAGGTTATATCCACATTTGTAATACTGCGTAAATTAGTCATCATGATAGTTCTCTGTACTGTATATAACTGACAGTCAAATAAGTAATGATAAGAATTTTCACAAACATTTCCAAAAGAACAACTTGGGTTATCTCTTAAACCAGCACGGAATAGATCATAATTCAACTGACTACACATGTAACGTAGTTTTGTAAGGATGATGTTAGTGATTCTCGGTCCAGAATCAAAGTATTGAGGAGCAGTTTTATGTTTTATAACAATATTCGATATAAAAGAATTCAATGACTCGCTTTTTCTCACTTCAACTGGAAGTTCATTCCACATTCTAATTGTGGATGAAAAATAAGAATCATAGGAAAATTTTAATCGCTGAAAGGAAGTGAGATATCATCAGAGTTGCGAAGATTATAGCTACATTTAGATGCTACGTCCCCAGGAACAAGATCAATAAAGGTACGATGGTGCCATATTATTCTGTATTTTGTAAAAAAGGCGAAGTTTACGCTTTCTCCTACGTTCTGCTAAAGATTCCCAACCAGTTTCATAATACAGACGTTCATGATGAGTATATTTAGGTAAACCTGTTACAATTCTTGCTGCTTCTAATTGCAGTTGTTCTAATTTATTTCCTTGATATTTAGCACATCCATCCCATACTTCACACGCATATTCAAAATGGGGTCTTATGAACATTACGTAAATTCTATTCAATACAGAGCGTGGTAATAAAAATTTGAGTTTACGTAGGAGGGATATCATTTTTGAAGTTATTTTTACAATATTATCAGTATGGTCAGACCATTTACAATCTTTTGAAAATGTTAATCCCAAATGTTTATGATTATTAACTGTTTTGACACAAACCCCGTTAAAGTACAGATTTAGTGCATCAACATTCTTTTGCAAGGAGAAAAAGATTGCCTCCTTTTCAATTTAAAGCGGTTTATTTGTTACTTTCAAACTTATATATATCCAGGGACTAAGCGTTGTCTATTCAATTCCCTAAGTGCAACAAATCTTCTTATGAACAAAATACAAGTATTATATGCCCAGGTACAATCAAAACCAGTATGACTCGCATGTTTGCAACAAAATACAAATATTATATACCAGGCATGTTCCAAAACAACAGAGCCATTATCTTCATGTTTTACCAAAATGTAAAAAAACAACACATCCGGGTACATTAAAAACAAACATCATCTTCATGTTGGCAATAAAATACACTCAGTATCATAAACCCAGGTGCAATGAAAACCAGCATCACAAAATATCTTTAAGATATTTGCAACGAAAGTAGGCAGTATTTACGGAACGTGGGCAAAGATGTCAAAATATTTACAACCAGATAAAAGTTTTTATTCCACTGTTATCCCTCCTTATCCAACCTGCCACACTAATATCTTAAAGACCGTTACAAGAAAATAAATGTATTATTAACCAAACATCTGTCAAGGACCAGTATGATAAGATTTTTGATAAGTTTACAAGAAATTACAAGCATACTTTACCCAGATTTGTTAACTGTCAGCTAAAACCTTAGTCTGTCATACAGACCCTGAAACAAACATATCCAAGAGAGCCCATGCAAGTCTAGAAAATGTGGCAAGTCTACATTACCACAGTTTCAGGAAATGAAGAAAGTCTCTGGGCTCTTTTCATTTCATATTTTATGATTATAATTTAAGAAGGTATTTTCTGTAAAATATGTTCGTTTCAGAGCTTATATGTTAGAGTCTACCAATACCTTTAAGATCTTTATGACTAAATGCTTGTGTCAAACACACGAGATAAGTCCATCATGACCAAAATCTTCAAGATGTCTGCAACCAGATTCAAGATTGTAATACTCATATAATCACTTCAAATGAAGCCTAACTGATATGGACAAGATGTTTGCAACTTGACACCAGCTATCTCCCAGACCCCCTGTGTGGCGCAGTCACTTGTGTTCCGGGGTCAAGACAGCCCCCACCCCCCACTTCTCCCATCAAGGAAGTTACCTAACTCTTGACCTTTGACCCTAGTATGAACATGTCACCAGCTCAGGAATTCCGGAAATGGGTTTACATATCTGTTGAACTAGATAATAAATTGTTAAAGTCTGCATTCAAAAATATTGACCATGGCTGTTGTAAACTGGCAGGAGACAGACACAATATTTGGATCAAGTCTCTTGGTAGACTGAAAGAGGACCAGACGCAAAGTCTGGATCATGTTTTCCATTGCTTTTAGCAATATTCCAGCAATATCATGCAGGGGACAACAGAAATGGGCTTCACACATTGCACCCATGACATCTAACTAGCATGACAAGTGAATGCTTGATGTAGTTTGCTATCCTACAGCTCGATCCACTCGATGACCCATTGCCATATAAACATAAAACCTACCGTCAGTTGTCCATCTGTGAAGCTTTTATCTATCAAATAGGTCCAAAAGGAAATCGATGCGAGCAACTTGTCATAAACTCAACACATATCTGACGAAGTTATTCACTGTGCAATATCCATCCATGTCATGTCTTCATCTGTATGTACAACTCAAGAGTACAGATCCACAACTTCAAATATGACAGCAAATTCACACAGAAACAGGAAACTCAAATTTGAAAATCAAAGTCCCGCCAACATACAGTTTCCACCAGTTGTTGAGGAGCCAACAGACACGGAATTTTGATCCACTGACATTCAGATTTTACACAACTTGCTGCTCGTGTCGCAGTCGGTGAAGCACGTTCTCCATTACAAGACTAACTCAGTTGTCAAGTAATCCTTTCGCGGGTTGTATACCTCAGAGCTACCTGGCGAAACCACTCATGCATAACATCATGTATATGTACACGCATGCATCCACACCAGCCACGTCAGTCGTGTCAACACAAAATCTTTCCAGTGTATCATTCGTGAATGTTTGTGTTGGTTGCTAAAGTTGTGTCCGTATAATCACCACTCCCACAAAAACAATGAGTATTTTCAGTTTGACATTTTGCAGTTTCTGAGAATAGTCTCGTTCAATATTTGTGCAGAGGTCAAGTTTGTACTTCGCTGTTCACTTTCTGAGAGAGTCAAGTTTTGATGGATGGGTCCCGGTTTAACATCACTTCTTGACTGACTTGTCACCAAAAACTATGTCTCTTTCATCAGCTTCTCAGGAACACGTTTGTTTGAGTCACCCAACAGGAAGAGACCGGCCTCAGTGACTACCTCGAAGATGGGCCGAGTGTCGGAACACAAACATGAAGATTGGCCGGGTCCACCACAGAAGATAGGAAGAGTGATCACACATAGTCAAGTGTAACTCCAACTGACAACACTGCTCACAGTTGCTGTTTCATGGTGGGTCGATCGTCCCAGGTACACACAGCTGTCACAGAGAGATCGTCTCTCAACTTGACAAGAAAAACTTGTACAGGGAACACTCACAACAAACACAGGCTGGGCTGCTCTCCTTGACCACGTCCATGTCGACCTCCTTCCTCAAACCACATTCTCATAATGTCCACCTGGTCACACCTGGTCAAGCCACTCAACCGTGCCCTCAGGTATGTAAAAACCCAGCCAGTCGGACAGGTGAGATAACGAGAATTTGACCAGCTATTGCATTCCAGGCATGACCTGAGCTGTTTAACCTACTCTACCTGTTTACTCCCAATGTAAACTAGCCCGGCTCTGCACAGCCTCTCAAGACACTCCATGGTAGAAACTGGGCAGGTCTATTTATAGCCTAGGGGTGTGGTTTTTCTCAAAGCTGGTGAATTGGCCGGTCCTGGGGCATGAAGAGATTGTAACAATACTCTGCTCTGATAACTGTATTGGGTCTTGTTTAGATAACTGTACCGCTCAATGCCTGTAGCCCTAGCCCTACAGTGTACTGTACAGAGCAATGCTGTAGCGCTACAGTCTTGTCATGTACTGTAGCGTATTGAACAGTGTTGTCTGTGACTTTCTTTACATTTCACAACTGAGGCGAGTTTGTTTATTTATCAACGATACGGGAAGACAGCATTGTAAACAATCAAACCAATGAATGATGTATAATATGCATGTATGTTGACACCAAGTTAATGTCCCTGGTTGCCTCTACTACCACCAGGAAACCCCTTGGAGCACTGATCTGTGTATAGACTTGATTTATCTTAGATCTTCTACAGTGAATACTTAACAGGCTTCTCTACTCCATTGTAAAAACACAACTTCACGTCTGTATATATGCCGTCTTGTCTGTCTCACAGAACCTCGTTATTTTCCCTACTGCCCTTCCTGCTTTGCTAATTAAAGCCTTAAATGAAGTAAGTCTAGATTTCCCATCTGACTGGGGCGCCTTTTCAATTTAAATGGGCTTTTTGTTACTATCAAAATTTATCTTAAAAACTACAAAACACAACAAATTATGATTAATTGCCAGAAGAAATAAAAACAATATTTGAAAATGCAACAGATATTTGTGCAACCTGTTAATCTTTGGGACTAAAATGAAAAAAAATAGTCTTGCCTAAAGGTTTAAAAGGTTGCAGTGATTAAGTTTTGAGTGTGCATGTCTGTCGCATTAAGTCGAGGAAACAGAGCATGATCTTAATTAAGGAAGGAAGTTTACGCTAACATCAAAATATCACAAGAATGCAGAATAAATGTGTTGAAAAATGAGATAAATATGTTAAGAAATGTTTCTTGTTACCTGTCTAATTCTCATGACGATTTATCAGGATGTTATCTTGTTACTTAGTACACATATCAGCAAGTCTAGCTTCACATAACATTTATTCCGGCTTCACATAACATCTATTCTAGCTTCACATAACATCTATTCTAGCTTCACATAACATCTTTTCTGGCTTCACACAACATCTACTCATATTTCACATAACATCTATTCTAGCTTCACATAGCATCTATTCATATTTCACATAACATCCATTCCATTTCACATAACATCTATTCTTGTTTCACATAACATCTATTCATATTTCACATAACATCCATTCCTGTTTCACAGAACATCTATTCTAGCTTCACATAGCATCTATTCATATTTCACATAACATCCATTCCTGTTTCACAGAACATCTATTCTAGCTTCACATAGCATCTATTCATATTTCACATAACATCCATTCCTGTTTCACAGAACATTTATTCCGGCTGCACACAACATCTATTCATATTTCACATAACATCCATTCCTGTTTCACAGAACATCTATTCTAGCTTCACATAGCATCTATTCCTGTTTCACAGAACATCTATTCCGGCTTCACACAACATCTATTTATATTTCACATAACATCCATTCCTGTTTCACATAACATCCATTCTAGCTTCACATAGCATCTACTCCTGTTTCACAGAACATCTATTCCGGCTTCACACAACATCTATTCATATTTCACATAGCATCTATTCCTGTTTCATATAACATCTATTTTAGCTTCACATAAGATCCATTCCTGTTTCACATAACATCTAGTTTCACATTCCAGCGAGTCCCACCTGACTGTACCACAGGTTACTTCAACCGACAGACAATGCATCCACTATGTCAACACAACTAAGGTATTTCTATTGTTCATCAACACAATACAGCAAAACACACCTGCATTTCCTCAAAACCACATGTATGTAATTACAGGTAAGTATGATGAAGCCTCAGGTCACCTGGATTAGATGAGGATTCTGTAAATACGCCAGATAATCCCCTCCCATGTCAAGGTCCCTGAGACTGATGGCCTGGGGTGCTTTCTCCTACAATAAGCCATCGCACAAGGTGAGAGTGTTGCTCCGTTGTCACAGTCTCCCAGCTGGCAGCCAGCGGAACTGATGTGGTGACAGACAGGTAATCTCACTAATTCAGTGTTCACGATTAGTGTCTGACCCTCTGACAAATCCGGCAGATTCGGCAAAGGTCTGATAGAAGTCTACAACCCACTGGCCCCAGTGTCTGACTGTATATTACACAATGACTTTGACTGAAGTTGTTATATGTGACATGTGACGCTTGTTTGCTGTTTATAAATCTTATGTTTGTTAATAATTTCAATGTCAATTATATGAAATGTTCAATCTGAAATGTGTGTTTAATTTTATTCTTTGGGTCCTGTGAATTTTCAATGGGTCAGACAGACAGCTGAAGCTTACGGGGCCCAATGTCCTGTTACTTTGAAACACCATTCGTGAACACTGCTAATTATGTTACACACCTGGAATTGATGGAGAAGGATACAAGTGGGATCTTCCCATCCACCCAGGGACCCGATCCACAAAGCGTTTACAGCGAACACTATTCATAAGAGTTTATGATCGAAATTAAGGCAGTTTTACTACTTTTTACGACCGATCCACAAAGCGTTCTTAATCCATTCGTAAAGAATACAGGGGTATTTCCCAGTGATGTCATTATTTCGAGGCAATCCTGTCACTCATTAAGCACACAACACTTTCCTACTGTTGCAGTCAACAACACCCCGACATGAATTCAAGTCAATCGTCGGCTACCATCAAGCATCCGAGGAAGAAAAACTTGACCCATACCGAGTTAAGTCGTTTCGTGGAATTTGTCGAATCAACAATCATTCGCCAACAATCTAACAAATATTATGAAGTAGAAAGCATGGGATGACATTTCACAGAGGTGTGTATATCATATGGAAGTAAATTGAAACCAGTCAAGCGAGATAATCCCCTAAAACAACAGGTGTTGGGTCAAATTAGATACCCATATGAACTAGAGACAAGGCTAGTGATAAGTGTTTAAGTAAAGAAATGTACTATCACGTTTGTTTACATTACAATTCCACCTAACACTCGTTACTTCCTAATGGCTCCAGATTGCTTGAATAGCAAAACACTTTGATTATAAAAGTAATTTAATTTTTTATTCATCTGTGCAATACTAGGATTGTCAGTTATCACTTGGTTTGTTTAATTACTCTGAACGCACACAGAGATTATGTAGGTTTGCGTTGTACGTCTGTGCAACAGCATTGCATCTGTATGGGCCCGAAGTTGGATGATTTGATTAACTGGGAGGGAATTACGCTTTCGTTCAGGGTTTTGCATTATTTTGAAAAGTGCATCAAGTCTGTAGCCTCATAGGTCAGTAAGCAATGAGTTGCTCAGGTAATATGGGCTGTGGGAGTGAGTGAGTATGGTTTTATGTCGCTTTTATCAATATCCTAGCAATATCACGGCGGGGACACCAGAAGTTGGCTTCGCACATTGTACCCATGTGGGGAATCGAACCCGGGTCTTCAGCGTGACAAGCTTTAACCATTTGGCTACTATAGAAACACATATAACACACAAACAGTTGAATACACACAAGGTTGGTCAAATGTGGGTACGACTATCTGACGGAAATAACTCTTAGCTACATCGCTGCCCTGGAAAGTTTGGCTGGGCAATATGATTTATGCCCGGGAGCGGCCCTTCCCACAGTGGCCCCTGAGTTTTCACGCCTTGTTAACGACCCTTCCTAGAGTGGCCCCTGAAGACTTACGTGTTCCCACACTGGACTCTCTTAATTTTGACAACTAACAAGTTGTCCCACACTGACCCCTACATTCACACCTTCTTAACGAGTTGTCCCAGAGTGGCCCTTGAATTTGGTTGTTACATAATAGACTGAGGGGCTACTCTGGGAATACACCGGCAATATCTATTGACAATTACAATGCATTGACACACAAAAAAAGCAACATCTTATCAAAATCGTCATCCACAAACCTTTGATCAACAGAGACCAAGGATACTACATACCATCGGCCTATGAAGAATTGATCAAACTATAGACTCTATCTACTTGTTGTTACTAATTGGTTTCCTATTATGTTGTTATTCTTGTACATCACTTCACCCCCACTCCCCCTGGCACTCTTGGATTTGTGTACACAAGACATTGTTTTCTTTATGCATTAATCCAATCTTATTGGCTTCGTGAGGTGAGGTGAAATTGGGTTTTACGTTGTGCTGGTGAATATTTCGCTCATATGACGATGTGCATGCGTGTGTATGTTTGGCTGCTTGTACTAGCCCAGACTTAAGCTGGTTTTATAGTGCTAGCCCACTCAGACACATTATACTGACTCTGAGCCGACCAGTCCTTGTTGTACCCATTAATGCCGAACGCCAGGCAGGGACCAACAAGTACCATATTTTAACGTCTTTTGGTTGGACGAGGTCGGGGATCGAACACGTTACCTTCCGCTCTCAAGTCGGATGCTCTAACCACTACACCACGGAGGCAGTCTTATTGACTTCATAATCTTATTGGCTACGTAATTATATTGTTATCTTTGTACATTCTCCCTCCTTGCATTGTGTAAACATGTTTTATCTATATATCTTCACTTTTTGTACTGACTCAGTATTCACCTGATGAAGGGGCAAGAATTAGCTCTGAAACGTCATGTAAAGAATAAAAAGAAGTTGTTATCCATAAAAGTGTCATGTATTCATGTTCATCCAACTTCTAAATGCCTTTCAAAAACTTGTTGTTACTACTTATCCCCCCTTGTTTATTGGCGTCATCACCAGTGCTGTTTCTTGTTGTCACTTTTAGCTTGATAATGATGTAAGAATCTACATCGAAACATCACTTAATGCAATAAACAAGAAGTTGTCATCCATAAAGTTGTAGGTTTCATTTTTTACAAATAAAATGCAATCCAGAACAGAAACGAGGTGTAATAGATGCTACATACATACCTATATCTGCTCATCCACAGCGACACAGTTGACTTCATTCAGTCAAATTCTTCAGGGATGTCTGTTGAACTTCTTCTTAAAATTGACATTGATGATGTGTCTGATAGCTCTTCTGAATATCTTCTGGTTTATCATCATTATCTTCATGATGTTTTATCATGTTCAATAATTCAAATCTTCTGATCTTAATAGCGACAGTTGATCATTGTAATCTTGACAATTTTCCTGTCAGATTCCACGATCACACAAAAATAATCACTTTGACAAATTTTCTGAAAATTAATGGTTATTTGGCAAAGCATCTCAGGGTGTTTTGTGTTCATGTCTTATCATCATGGAAATGAAAACATTTGGTATAATCTTAGTGGGAATAACCATCTCAGCTTCAGATAAGGAATGGGATTTTGACTCGAAATGAGGTACTCAGCAATAATACAGCAACATCACAGCAACTTGTGAAGATCCAGGTTAGAACTGGTCTTCAGCAACCCATGTTTGTCGTAAGGGGGACTAACGGGATCAGGGGTCAGGCTCGCTGACTTGGTTGACACATGTCATCGGTTCCCAATTGCGTAGAGTGATGCTCGTGCTGTTGATCACTGGATTGATTATCACTCGATTATTTACAGACAGCAGCCATATAACTGGAATATTGCTGACTGCGGCATAAAAATATATACAAACAAACAAACAATGTTTATCATGACAGCAGCCTGTAAATAATCGATACTGGACCTGACAATCCAGTGATGGATGTAATGAGCATCAATCCATGCTATTGGGGTATCATCAATGAAATACTGTGTCATCACTTCATCCATTTTTCTTACGACAAGCACAGGCTGCTGAGGACCTATATTGACCAGGAATCACTATTGGAATCTTTTGTATCAATACTCATATTTGTTTTACAAGGAAACACAAACATCTGTCATCCAAAATAACGGTAACTTTTGACGTCTTTCGTCTAAAAGTTTATTCTTGTGAGGGCCGGAAAAGTTTTGACAAAATCCCACAATTCCTACTGAAGATGACATGGCATGTCCACGACAACAGACATGATGAAGATGTCACATGACCTCAGAAAGACCAACCTACAGCATCTTCCGGATCAAAGGAGTTTAAACCTGTGAACAAAAGTATTCTCAGACTCAACACAAGCTGATTCGGAGGTCTTTCCTTCTGTGGACGGATTACATCACACCTTCAACCAGATGGAGCTGTAAAGTAGCCTTAATTCTGGTTGACAGAACTAGATGACCGCCCTCTACTGCTCAGAAGAAAACAGATGTGTGTGGATGTATGGACAAACATGCACAAGAACGACAAAGCAAAAACTCCAAATTTGACTTCAAAATGACTGTACCTGGATTACCTAAGCTGAAACATTCATAAAAATAACTGTTTTAAACAATTTTTGACATTCTCTTCCTGAAACACAAAGAAATGGAGAGGCGATGTTTGAATTTAAACTCAAAATCTCTTTCTGAATTCACGGCAAGAATCTGTGTGGTTCTTGTATTACCAGGAAATAGGTTGCCTTCGAGTATCAAATCCACTTCTGTATACTGAAAGCGGTCAAATGTAAGATATGGCACTATACTTTCTCAGTAAAATAAGCACCCACTTGTGGTGGCTGAGTGGGTTAGACTGCTGACTTTGTGTGCTGGCAGTCAGGTGCCAGACTCCGAGAATGTGGGTTCTAATCCTAGCTGGGACTCAACCCTAAACGTACTGGAATCTGTAATTTACTGAGAAAGTGTAATCCCAAATATAACATGAACAAATCTGTACTTGTTACAAATTATTGTCCAATATTCCAAAGCATAAATTTAATCTCGTGCTGTCCCTGTACAATACAAGAATCAGTTCATGAATCAAAAACAAAAGCCAATCCATTTCTATTAAAAATAAAAAATTGTGCATAATTCCAAAACATCAGAAGATCCTGTGTACCTGTAAAAAGAATCATTTCCTGAATCCCACACCAGCATCAGATCCAACTGGATCCAATGACAAGGACAATATCGCCTACCTGTTGAGGTCCTTCTGTGTCTTGAAAGCCATGACGATCTCATTGTCTTCATTCACCATCTCGTCATGGCCGCCGTAGGACTCCTTAGCGACGGTGTGCGTGGTGATGCTGCGGTCCGCCAACTCTGCCCGTAGGTGGAGACACTCGTCTCTCCGTCGATCAAGCTCCTCTCGCATCGCTTCCAGTTCATCTAGGAAGATGATGAGAATCGTTAATACAATGTCAAACCAGTTTCAAATAATTTTTTTTAAAAAACAAAGTTTGGATGACAGGGAATTATCTCGAACTGATCAAAGTCTTATAGTGGGCCTGGCATGTTTGGCAAATGACAGTAAAGATTCACACAATAGAACTTAAGTTTCCCACATCATATAATCCCATGTTACAAAATTATAAATTCTGCTTTGATAATTCCTAAGTGATGTTCTAATAATGAAATAAAACACATGTATATGTATTGGAATGTTTCCTGGTGTTATTCTGAACATGACGTGTAGAATAAAGCTTCAAAAATTAAGGCATAAGTATTTTGGAAATACAAAGACTTAAAACCCCATATTCAGACAGACACGTATTTGAAAGATAGTATTCATTATACAACTTGAAATGTCATAGAGAAATATGGTAAGAACATCAGTGTTACATCTGTCATTTTAAATATTGGGTAATATGCAATAAAAATCATGAAACAAACGGAAAAGGTTCATTCATCAGGTACATCAAACATTGTCCATTAAGAATTAGATATAGAATAGTATTTTGTTTAAGCTCAACTTAATTTTAGTTTCCTTGTTACAAAGTAGAATCATTTGATGAAGGTCAGAGGTAACTTCGCAAGAGTTACGCCAAAATCAGAATGGTGTATATTTAACATGTCACTTTTAATGTGCAATAAGCAAATGGTATTAGTAGCATAATCTAATGATATGAACATTGTTAGGTGTAGACAAACTAATGTTGTTCAAAACAACATAATTGAATGAAATCTGGTTCTTCAACATCATAATGAAACATGTTATTTCTTGAAGTAAGTGAACTTGAACAGTGATCCAAATTTAGCTCAACCATAACTGACCACCATTTAAACAAAAGCATAAAATTACAATTTTGTGAACACTTAACATTGACTAAATGAATCCCACTTATTGAATAATAATTTCATATATAAACATTGTCTTTATCTTTTGAGGGAGGATTCCAAACAGATGCCAGCCCAGATTGAAAGTTTGGAGTAATCAGTTGGGTTAAAACGAGCAATTTCATTCGAAAATGAGAAAAGTTGAAAGTTGCAGAAGTTCACAGAAGCTCTCAGTAAGTCTCATTACAGAATGTTTAATGCCAGAAGTGCATTATCAATTTGCTCCCCTCCATAAATGTAAATAATGAAGACCAGAACAGTAAAGTGGGGCAGGAAAACGATGAAGGCTAAAACCATGAGTGAGCGAGTTTAGTTTTACGCCACTTTTAGCAATATTCCAGCAATATCACGGCGGGGACACCATAAATGGGCTTCACACATTGTACCCATGTGGGAATCGAACCCGGACCCCACTGCCCCGCTAAAACCATGAAGATGAAAACTGAAACTATTATGACAAAATGGTCACCAAACAAAACAAAATTTTAACTATCATGACAAAATCGAAACAATCAACATCGTACTATTATGACAAAATCGTAACTATGGTGGTTACAGAATCCCAACACTTTTTCATCTGTCAAACATATGAAGCCCATATCCTCACATGACTGACTGACTGACTGAGTTTGGTTTTAGCTTTTAGCAATATTCCAGCAATATCACGGTGGGGGACACCAGAAATGGATTCACTCATTGTACCCATGTGGGGATTCGAACCCGGGTCTTCGGTGTGAAGAGCCAACGCTTTAACCACTAGACTACCCCACCGCCCCTCCTCACATGAACATACAAGGTCAACTTTACTAGTTTACTTGTTAAAGTGGGATCCATGAAGCAACAGTAACTTCTTAGTAAGAATATAAATTTGAGCATCGTCAGTACTTCATCAGCAAGCATACACTACGCCCAGTGTTCCTTGTTCTAGTGCCAATGCTCATCTCCAAAGGGCACATCTGAGTCCCATGGCATGAAAGAGGTGAGGTGAAATGGGGTTTAACGTCACGCTTAAGAATATTTCGCTCATATGACGACGTGCATGCGTGTATATGTGTCGCTGCTTGTGAGTGAGTGAGTCAAAATGTATCGTCACATCGGCAATATTTCAGCCATATATATCGTGGCTATTTGTTCTAGCCCAGACTGAAGCTGGTTTTATAGTGCTAGCTCAAAGATACCATGCTGCAGTTAAGCATGAATACCCCACTCAGACACATTATACTGACTCCGAGCCGACCAGTCCTTCTTGTACCCATTAATGCCGAGCGCCAGGCAGGGACCAACATTTACCATATTTAAGGTCTGGTATGATGCGGCCGGGGATCGAACCCGCGACCTTCTGCTCTCCAGGGCGGAGGCTCTAACCACTACACCATGGAGGTGGTTGGCATGAAAGAAAAAACAATTCAATGTGTGTGCTGAAGTGTTTGTTTGACTGGAAAGGGTTGCTGGTAAGAAACTCCAATCCAGCATTTGGTCACATCTTCAAATCTTCACAACAAAATACAGCTGGGGACACATTCTACCCAGGATCCATAAGGGAGTGAGTGAGTATGGCTCTACTTTACCAGAAATCGGCTTAAAATATTGTGGGGAAGCAAACCCAGGTCTTCGGCTAGTCGAGTGATCACCGTAACCACTATGCTAGCCCATGGTCACCGATGGATAAGAGTGAGTGAGTGAGTTTAGTTCTACGCTGCACTCAACAATATTCCAGCTATATGGTGGCGATCTGTAAAGAATCGAGTCTGGACCAGACAATCCAGTGATCAACAGCATGAGCAGTGATCTGCGCAACTGGGATCCGATGACGTGTCAACCAAGCCAGCGAGCCTGACCACCCGATCCCGTTAGTCGCTTCTTATGACAAGCATGGGTTACTGAAGGTTCATTCTAACCCGGGACCCCCTCCGTGGTGTAGTGGTTAGAGCGTCCGCCCGGAGAGCAGAAGGTCGCAGGTTCGATCCACGACCGCGTCATACCAAAATACGTTAAAATATGGTACTTGTTGGCACTCGGCATTAATGGGTACAACAAGGACTGGTCGGCTCGGAGTCAGTATAATGTGTCTGAGTGGGGTATTCATGCTTCACTGCGGCATGGTATCTCAGTGGGCTAGCACTATAAAACCAGCTTCAGTCTGGGCTAGTACAAGCAGCCGCACATACACATACACACGCATGTACGTCGTCATATGAGCGAAATATTCTCAAGCACGACGTTAAACCCAATTTCACCTCACCTCATTCTAACCCGGACCTTCACGGGTATTGATAAGAGTGAGTGAGTATACCTTTACACACCTTTGGGCAAAATTCCAGCAATATCAAGGCGGGAGACACCAGAAATGGGCTTCACACAGCATGTGAGGTTTCGAACCCAGGTCTTAGGCACGACACTTTAATCACTAGGCTACCCCACCGCCTCCTTAAGGACGAGAGAGCATAGTGTATCCAAAAGACTGACTGACTGAGTTTGGTTTTACGCCGCTTTTAGCAATATTCCAGCAACATCACGGAGGGGGACACCAGAAATGGGCTTCACATAGCATGTGGGGATTCGAACCCAAGTCTTAGGCGCGACACTTTAACCACTAGGCTATCCCACAGCCCCCTTAAGGATGAGAGAGCATAGTGTATCCAAATGAATGAAATACTGACGATGTAGACCAACATGCTTTGCCTACCTAAAATACACTTGACATTTCTAACCACTGTTCTCTGTTTGACTATGAGAAACACAGGCAATTAAAAGGACACAAAACACCAGATTAACGTAAACACCATCCTCGACACTCAGGGGAATATTTTCTCCAAGGCCCTCTAAAGACCCCTGAGTCCTTATAACCATAAATCTTGATAACTCATCAAGACCTTACCTTGAAGATAAACTATTTCAATGATAGAAACACCAGTTTACCATAAGATCATCCTCAGCACTCAGGGGAATATTTTCTCCATGATCCTCAAAAGCACCCTGAGCCGTTTACAATCATACATATCTTGATAACAACATCAATATCTTACTTCGAGGTAGGGGTGTCACGATACACCAATCTCACGATACGATACGTTTCACGATTTTAAGGTCACGATACGATACGTATCGCAATACATAATTTTCGAACTTTTCATAGCATTACCTTACCGGCAACGTACGGGCTCGCTGATTGGTCCATCAAAATAGTCTAGCCAATCACAAAAGCTGATAGTTTCCAACCTATTTTTTAAGTAAAGCTAGCTACATCTATTTATCTGAACGGTCTCATATGATTTTACTATCAAGACTTTGACTGAGAAGGATATAGCATAAAAATTTGAATCGATAAAGTTTTAAAATAGGAATCGATACACGCAAGCATGTATCGCGTATCGTATCGTCAGTAAAAATGTATCGATGCATCGATACATTCGCGTATCGCGACACCCCTACTTCGAGGCAACACTATTTCAATGATGTAATAATAGATGTAATTCATTTACAAAGTCAGTTATTAATACATTACAATTTTTGGAAAAATAAGAAGAAAATACTCATGAGTGAGAGGACAACAATGTCATACGTACAACATGGATTAACATGCATGGCATAAATACAGAACAGAATATATGATATAATCAACAATACATCAAATGAAAATATAATATCAGGTGCACCAAGAAGAGGACAGTGAAGTATTTCATGGGGTGGGGGTGTGTGGGGGGCATGGGAAGGGGAGGTAAGGGATGTTTCATGAGGGTAAACAGTGTATAAGATATTCTTTATAATATGCTTGGTTGATGCCTTCTGAGTCAAGTAACAGAAATACAAAGTTGAAAGCTTAATCTCATGGACAGCCAAAGACTGCTAAAAAGGCAAAGAAAGACAAAATCTGGAGGATATAAAACAGTATATATCCATAGGATGTATATCTTTAAACATCCGTAAGACATATATCCGTATATAGCCTCATCATCCCGATCCCATTAGTCACCTCTTACAACAAGCATGGGTTGCTGAAGACCAATTCTAACCCTGATCTTCAGAGGTCGATGTCTGAATGAACCTTACACAAAGACACACTTCCGCAAGTATACCAGTCCCTCCTGGATTCCACAATTCCACTTTTGCAGAATAAATCACGGAAATTACCTTCTGATGCAGAAAAACATCTGGTCCACGGAAAATGCATTTTTATGCAGAATACCTGCAGAATTTGCCATTTTTCTGCAGCGGAATTTACTTATTTTGAAAGTTTACTCAAGATTGACTATCAACCGAAAACGAAAAGTAGGGGTAAATGTCAAAAGTATGATTGATTACACAAAAACGAACTGAGACATTTGTTATAACAATATTTTCAAAATATTCACAAATAAAGATGATTTATTCATAAGGTAATCTTTCCTTAAGCACCTCACAATAATATCATTGGAATCTCACACTGCAATTAAGGTAACAAAATCAATCTTTTTGAAGATTGAGATTTCATTATTTTGTGGGTTTTTTTCAAGCTTTTTACTGCAGAATTGTTTGCAGAATTTTTAAAAATGGGATGCAGAACTTACCTAAATTTGTCACGGAATTCTTAAAAATTCCTCGCGGAATCCAGGACGGACTGGTATACTTTTTATCAATAGAAATTTGAAAGATTTAACCTAAACCTAATTAATTAACCTAAAACATATCTATCAATGACAAATACACTTATATTTGTGATGTGAATTGAGAGAAGGCATGACAACCGTGGCAGGTAGTTAGTTCTGTGGTTTAACAGGACCCAGTGTTAGAGTGGTCCCTCGGGTGGGAGACGAATACTTATCTTACCCTCAGGCGACTTAGCTTTGTCAGCTCTCCCTCGCTTAGAAAACCGCCTAAATACTACAGCATTGCATCAAAGAACACAATGTTCAATAACAGTGCAGCAGTCAGGGAAACTTGGCGGCAGGGATTGTATGAGTGCTTGGTCGAGTTTGTGTAGGAGCATGGATGTCATTGACAGGTAGTGAGACCAGAGATCATGTAATAAGTGGGACGGCCTTGAGCCAATGTACAAAACCATCAGCTCTACTGTGCAGACTATGTGAAACTGAATCCCTATGGGGGAACAAGCAGGGGAACTGGGTTCCGGGGAGCTGGGGGCCTGGTGGCTGGAGGCCTGAGGCCTGGGGAGCTGGGGCCTGAGCGTGCGTTTCTGACTGTGTGTCTAACGGGAGTGAAGGTTTTATTGGTGAGACTTTGGGGTTTTCAATAACTATGCAGTTTTGGTGTTTTTTGGAACAGGATTCAAACGGGTCAGACTTTGTATGCAGGACAGGAATGGGAACATTCCCTTACTCTTTTTCCCCCTCTGTGAATGACGTCTTAATATAGATCCTCCTATATTTCAGAGCAAAGCAGACAGGACCAGCATGAGAAGGCAGCCAAGAAAACCGAGTTGAGAGGTCAACACAAGGACACACACACCACAGCCACATGCAAGTTAGATAGAAAGAAAGAAAAGTCATGCATGTGAAAATACTGCAACACATCGGGCGAAAGTGTAATCCAAATATAACATCCGTTACATTTCACTGCTGTCTGATGGCATTGTGTGTTCATAGCTTTTGGCAGTGGGGCGGGATTGTGGGGAATTGAACCAGGGTCTTCGCGTGACAAGCAGAAGCTTTAACCACGAGACCACCCCACTGCCCCCTTTTCGTGGAAGCTGTGATGGTTGAGTGGGTTAGGTGGAGTTATTACACCTCACTCTAAGAGTGAGTTTGAATCCCAGATGGGACACAACCAACATATGAAATAGAATCTGAAGGACTACTGAGAAAGTGTATTCCCAAATGTTACATATGTAATGTATCAGGAATTCAACACTCAACCAGCCTAGTATAACATCCCAAAAATTCTTTTTTAATTTAGGATCATTTCAGTCGTGACGTCATGGATATTTTTTAATCGCAAAAAATTATACTTTTAAAAAATTGGGAAAAGATGAATCAATATTTCATAAAATTTTCATCTAACAGATTCTTCCTCTTCTACAGATCTGATTTAACATACTGTTGGAATTAGTTGCAGTTTTATAACAAGTGAAGACAGCAAGAGTAGAAGTCAAGAAAGAGGAATAAAAGTAAAAAAAAGACAGCAACAAATAACACATAAGGCATAAAAAAAGTTACATGCAATAAGGAAGTATTAACGCAACTGCAGATCCAACCATTACAATAACCATCATTACATTCTCCCCTTTGCTATTTCTACTTTACACTCAGCAATATTTCAGCTTCATGATGGCAGTCTCTAAATATTCAAATCTGGACCAGAAAATCCTGTGATTGACACAATGAACAGCAATTTTAAATTGAATCATGTCAATGAATTCAACCACATGATCCTGTGAGTCAGTGAGTATCTTTTACGCCGCTTTTAGCAATATTCCAGCAATATCACGGCAGGGGACACCAGAAATTGTCTTCACACATTGTACCCATGTGGGGAATCGAACCCGGGCCTTCGGCGTGATAAGCTAACACTTTAACCACTAGGCTACCCCACTGCCCCTGTAGATCCTTTGAGACCATAAAGTTATCAGGGTTCGTACAGATTATCAGCCATCAAATTAAGGCCTTTTAAGGGGCCTTACAAGGCCCAATCAACAATTATAACAGCATAAGTTGGTCAAACACATAAGTAGCTGAATACACGAGGTTGGTCAAATGTGGGACAGACCATTAGAGGGAGATAACTCTTAGATACATCGCTGCACTGGGAACGTTCTGCTTTGCAGTGGAGTTTGATTAACACTCTCTGTCATTGCAAGGTATTTTTATTATCTTTAAGTTTCCTGTAAATCATAACTTGACAAGTTTTGCTAAATATAGGACCTTTTGGACAAATCACTGGCAATTAAGGTCTTTTCAAGGCTAAAATGAATTTAGGGCCTTTTTAGGGTAAAATATCCAAATTTCAGGCTATTTCAAACCCATATGAACCTTGGTTAAGACAAAGACTCTGATCATGCTTAATATTTTAATACTGCCATGAAGAAACCTAGCTGTTGTCTCTAAAGATATCAGGGGGCGCGATGGGTGAGCTGGCTAAGGCGCCAGGCTAGTGATTCAGTGAGGTTGAGGTGTCGGGATCGAGCCCACTTGTGACCGCGGGTGTAAAAACCTTGGAGTCAACTTTGTGTGCAGACTCTTTCAGTGTTGTCACAACCCCTAGTGTACAGTACACAACCCTGTGCACTTAAAAGAACCCACGAATCCGTTGGTAGATGACCAGATGGTGGCCACATGAATACGTGCAAACACCTAGTTGTGGGTACAGCAACGTGCAGTGATCTTGGACAAAGTACTGTGACTATGTGTCCCAGTCCACCCACCTGTGAATAGGTACCTCGTTAGGATGAGAAAGCCACAACTCGGTGCGCCTAGTGGCTGCAAGAGTTGTATACTCCCCAGGGAGTTGAGATTGATAATAAGACGTGCCGTTGAGATTGACATCCAATGATCGAGGGAAAAATACCAGCGCCTTGAGCATACACTAGTTGCCTGGATATGTGTGCTATATAAATATCCTATAATAATCAGCAAAACTGTTTTTAAACATCTCTACACTAGTAGGCCATTACATCACATACAGAGACACACGCATACTATCAACACCCTCAAACCACTCACCGAGGAATTTCTTGCCGGCGGGAGACATCTTGCCACTGTTGTCAAAGTTTGTACTTGCGGCAATTGACTTGTTGAGAGAGGATACTTCACGTTTCAGTTTGTCGTTCTCATTCTGAAGTTCCTGCATCTGAAAACAGCCATTAACTTTGTGAAAACATGTAACTTAATTAAACCATGTCCGCATCACGTGCAGCTCTTTCATAAACACATTGACAATTGCTCACATTATATTTGAAAAAACTGGAAATAAACAGTAAAGTTTCATCATCAACCTTAAACTTATCATGGCAAAATAACTGAAATGAGTAGGCCAGTTTTAGCTAAGTTAAGGGAAGTGTTTTATTAAAAAATGTGCATTTTTCATATGTGGAATTAGTAAGCTTCAAAAGGGGATTCAAGTGTTCCACTATCATTCACAAGAAGAAAGAGACAAGCAATTAAGCATGAGTCAGGATAAGGAAAAATATCAGTTAACAGAAACATGGGTTACTTCCCTTTGGTGTATGACAAGAACATTGTGTGACATAACTTACATTTAATTTCCGTTCTGTTTCATGCAAATTGAATAAGTATTTTGTGATATTGGTAAATCAAGAGAGATGTGAGATTTTGTGGAATAATATGAGAAGAATTATAGTATCTGTCTAAGAGTACCATGTAACACATACTTATATTTCACACAAGAAACGTCATATTTATGTCATGTCCATATCAAAGAGCATGCATTGTTAGCAAGTCATGTTCCTTCATGAAAAGTCTGCCTCAATAACATATTCACACACGTCAATAAAATGTTAAAAAACAACTTAAAAATATTTAACCTGAAACTCTTATATGAAAAATTTCAAATTTGATCATGTTTGTCCTCCAGTCAACACTCAGATGAAAGCAAAACGACATAAGTACAGAAAGAGCTAAACAGCAGCTCAAAACAAGACATAAGTAGTTGAATATGTCAAAGTTGAGACAAGAGTTCAGACAGAATCATCTAGAATTTCAAGGTCAGTAGTTTTTGGCTTTCAATCGTGTGAATTTTTTGGGGGGAAAATAAGTGATATTCAAAATGGTCTTATCATCATAAATGCCAGAGGTACCTTAACGTAGTTTTCAGTGAAAATAATGAAAAACAAAGCATTAAAGCCTCTTTCTTGGATGTGAAACAAAAGTCATTAACTACAATTAACATTTGTTGCAGAAGTTTTTACCAACACTCACTGCAGACTTTTTTTAACTCATGTTTGTTGCCGACATATAGCCAACTTTGGCCGCAGACTTTTGAAATGATGACATGTACTGCAGACTTTTAAACTGATGACATTTACTGCGGACTTTTAAACTGACGACATTTGCTGCAGACTTTTAAACTGACGACATTTGCTGCAGACTTTTAAACTGACGACATTTGCTGCAGACTTTTAAACTGACGACATTTGCTGCAGACTTTTGAACTCATGATATTTGCTGCAGATTTTTATAAACAGTTTCTGCAGTCATTTGAACAAACTTTGTATTGCTGCAGACTTTTGAACAAACTTTTAATTGCTGCAGACTTTTGAACAAACATTTGCTGCAGACTTTTGAACAAACATTTGCTACAGACTTTTGAACTGATGACATTAACTGTAGACTTTTTATCAACATTTTATGCAGACTTTTAAATTGATGACATTTGCTGCAGACTTTTATACTGACGACATTTGCTGCAGACTTTTAAACTGACGACATTTGCTGCAGACTTTTGAAGTCATGATATTTGCTGCAGATTTTTATAAAGAGTTTCTGCAGTCTTTTGAACATTTTATGCAGACTTTTGAACTGACAGCATTTTCTACAGACTTTTGAACTGACAACATTTGCTGCAGACTTTTTATCAACATTTTCTGCAGACTTAGAACTGACGACATTTGCTGCGGACTTTTGAACTGATGACATTAAGTGCAGACTTTTTAATCAACATTTTCTGTTGACTTGTGACCAAACATCAGCCTCTGAGCAGATCTAGAAAAAGTCCTGGTTCAATTGAACGCTACAATAGTGCTGCAAGTACAGAGTATTCATAATAAGGCTCTAGACTGTTAGATCCTACACATAATAATATATAATAATACAGTAGATTTGTTATGCGCCAAAACTCCAGACACTTGGTGTCTGCTCATTTCGCCAAGTTGTTCCAATAGCCGGAGCATAATGACGTGCTCTCGAAGCTCTCTTAGCGCTAAGATAGTCATAAGTGCCATACATTAACATTAACTTACAGCTATCTTAGCGATAAGAGAGCTTCGAAAATCTAGGCCCAGAATTCCCAATTACTATTACTTAAGCAACCAGCAGTAAGTCATTACTGACGATCCTGGATCAATTGTGACTCGGAGACTATTGTGACATTACCAAAACAACATTCACTCTCTTACTAAAATAATTTTGAATATCGTGGACAGTTTAGCTGAGACTAGTTTTGCTATTACTTAAGAAATAAGTCATTCTGACTATTCATGAACCAGAAAATAATTTTGATCATTTCCTTAGTAATTGTAAACATTTAGCAGTAAATTACTGATTCTGTCCTCGAGACTATTGATTCCTAAACAACGCGGACCGATCATCAGAAACATCAGATTCTGCAGCTTCAGTGAAATACGCGCACAGGGTACTACTATGGCGGGCGGTCTGTAAATAATCGAGTCTGACATGGAGAATCCAGTGATAACCCCATGTGAGTTGAGGATGGGAACCGAAGTCAGTGATACTGACCAATCCGTATACACAAGTGAAGTCAGATTCGCAGCTTCAGACATGGAACAATATGGATAAATAACCCTGTAGTTGAGGATGATAGTATCAAGTATACACATTATATTGAGATGCTTTGGTTATATTTACAAAGTACATCTTTCATTATATTGAGATATTAATAAAAGCTTTTTAAAAATTGCCAAAGTATACTCAACTACATAAGTTAGGGAACATGAACATCTTTAGAGAAACATTTTTTGTAAGTTTCAATGATTTACACACAATTTTATAAAACTATCCACAAAGATATTCAAGGTCCTTAGTTTTTACTGTCCAGATAATGTTATGATAGCGATATTGTCTAAGATCTACACTGACATCTGGAAGAGAAGAGAGCAAAGTGAAAGATGAACGATGAAGCTTAAAGACAGAGATTTGTACCTTCAAAACAAAAGTAGAATTTAAGACAAAACAAAAAATGAATAAACCATCCAAAACATGTGGTGAAAGAATATAAAACAGACAAATAATCAGTATTAGCAGCATATTTACAAAATTAATTTTTGAAAGTGCAAAGATTACAGTAGAACTGAATAATGGTCCCTGAATAAGACAAATTCATCTTTTAAACCAAGTTTGGGGTGTTTATGATTTACAGTGAATTTGTTTCAAAATCACACCTAACATGTTTTGGTGAAATTAAAATTGAAATGTGAAATATGTTTTGAGAACATACAAATCTCATTTGGTTAAATATTAATGCAAAAGTAGAGGGTTAAACAGGCAGTCAGCGGGAGAGAGTTAAGGCTCCCATCATGCATTGCGTGAAGCCCAACCCTTGTGGTGGGTGGCAGGCGGCGCATATACCTTCAAACTCTCATAGGCGAGGTCACCACCGATTCTCTCTTTGCCATTTTCGTTATCATCTCGCTCCTCCAACTCGTTTGTCAGTTTGTTTTTAACGAGCTCTAAAGCCTTTACTCGTTTTTGTAGTTTAATTACAAGGGCTACGTCATCTGCATTTGCACCCATTTCTTGCTGTGGAGGAAGGTCAGGGTCAAGGTCAGGTGAAGGTCAAGGCAAAGGTCACATGGGCTAATGGAAGCCATACACTTGCAGGATGGGGAAAAACACTGGTAGTGTTCTCAAGACAACTGACAAACATGCACAATTTCAAAAAAGCAAATATGCATGACAATGAAAAATAAATGATTCTAGAGCAGCTGGCCACACTTTGCTTCATATTTGACATGATTCCAATGATTTTTTAATGCCATTAAGAAGTGATAAACATAAAGGATGTCAACTTCTTTATTGTGAGGAACACAAAGTTTCGGAGTTTATTCTTTCTCCTTCATCAGATGAAAGATAAAGGACATGAAGAGGAACACATTTTATGGACAGACAACTTCTTTATTATTTATATACAGTGGATGCAATATACCTATCCATAAAAAGTCTTCCTCTTCATCATACCAGCTTCTAAATGCCACTTAAGTAAAATAAGGTGAGGTGAAATTGGGTTTAGCGTCGTGCTTGAGAATATTTCGCTCATATGACGACGTGCATGCGTGTGTATGTGTATGTGCGGCTGCTTGTACTAGCCCAGGCTGAAGCTGGTTTCATAGTGGTAGCCCACTGAGATACCATGCCGCAGTGAAGCATGAATACCCCACTCAGACACATTATACTGACTTCGAGCTGATCAGTCCTTGTTGTACCCATTAATGCCGAAAGCCGGGCAGGGACCAACAAGTACCATATTTTAACGTCTTTTGGTATGACGCGGTCGGGGATCGAACCCGCGACCTTCTGCTCTCCAGGCGGATGCTCTAACCACTACACCACGGAGGCGGTCAAGTAAAATAAGGGGTGGTGGGGTAGCCTAGTGCTTAAAGTGGGCTTAAAGTGGGAGACCGTTCGATTCCCCACATGGGTATAATGTGTGAAGCCCTTTTTCTGATATCACCCTCCATGATATTGCTGTAATATTGCTAAAAAGCGGCGTAAAATCTCACTCACTCACTCACTCCTCAAAATAAAGAAGTTGACGTTCTAGAAAGGCATTTAGAAGTTGGACCAAATTGGTCGAAAGACGTTGACATCCATAAAAATTCTTGCAATTCAACAATGTCACAACATCAGAATCAAAATCATTTAATAGCCCAAAATTATTTTCACCCATCATGTTTAACCAATATATTTCTAAAAACTCTGGGATCAGTGTCTTGAGAACGGCAATGCTTTTGGTGCAGAATATCGTAAACTGGATTAATACTGCAAAGTAACAACAAGTAAACAAGGAAGCCATGCTATCCTCATGGCTGACAACATCGTCTTCAAGAAATACAAAAACATACAAGTTAATAAAACATGCACCTATTCCTTTTTTGAGTGAAGTTTAATTTTCCCATTCCAATTTCAAGAAAGTGTTAATATCAGAATAACTTTTAAATATGTTGTTTTGTTTTGGAGGGGAGAATGTATAACAAAAATATGCCATGTGCTTTTCTTTTTTTGAAAAGGTTAAAACGTTCAAAAGATTAACAAAGAAACAAACACCGTATTTCAAAATGAACATTCTCTTAAATGTTCAAAAAGATATTTTCCTAAAAGTATAATAATAAAGGAAATAATGCATCTAAACATATAAATAAAGTTTGTTTTCAATTGTTTTCATAATTCGGAATGAGAATAATAAATAGAAAATGCCAGTAACAGATCATTAAGAATGTCCAATGCAACTTTCATACATAATGCTATTCGCCTACAACTTAATTCAAACATATGGTTTATGTGGATGTTATCAAGTCTTCTTGGAAAAAATATGGACTTAATATTATCCCTACGTCTGGACTTATTTCATTCCAACCAAGCTTCCCACGTTATCCACATCCAATAAAACAAAAGTACAGACAGCCACAAGATTTTGTTTCCATGACAACCGCCAATACCTTGAGAGCCTCGAAGGCAGAGTCAGACATCATGGTGGGCGATGCCCGAGGGCTCTCCTCCTCCATCCTCTCCACGCTGCGTTGCAGGGACTGCTTGTCTCGCTCCAACTCCTTCACGCGGTTCTGCAACTTCAGCACCAGACCCACGTCTATCGGCTCTCCCTCCTGCTGAAATACACAATCATTGCAGGAGGGCATAATCATTGCAAACATCATTCAATTAGGGGTGCAAACAGTCAGTTAGTGGGGCAAACTGTCAGTCAGAAGATCCAAGTCTATCGGCTCTCCCTCCTGCTGAAATATGCACATAATCATTGCAGGGGCAAACATCATTCAATTAGGGGGGCAAACAGTCAGTTAGTGGGGCAAACTGTCAGTCAGAAAATCCAAGTCTATTGGCTCTCCCTCCTGCTGAAATATACACATAATCATTGCAGGATCATTGCAGGGCAAACATCATTCAACAGACAGTCAGTTAGTGGGGCTCTCCCTCCTGCTGAACTGTCAGTCAAACAGACCCAAGTCTATCGGGCTCTCCCTCCTGCTGAAATACACTCATAATCATTGCAAACATCATTCAATTAGGGGGGCAAACAGTCAGTTAGTGGGGCAAACTGTCAGTCAGAAGACCCAAGTCTATCGGCTCTCCCTCCTGCTGAAATATACACATAATCATTGCAGGAGGGCAAACATTCAATTAGTGGGGCAAACAGTCAGTTAACAGACCCACGTCTATCGGCTCTCCCTCCGGCAAACAGTCAGTTAATCATTGCAGGAGGGCAAACTGACCAGTGAGGCTATCAGCAAACAGTCAGTTAACAGACCAATGTCTATCGGCAAACAGTCAGTTAACAGACCAACGTCTATCGGCAAACAGTCAGTTAACAGACCAATGTCTATCGGCAAACAGTCAGTTAACAGACCAACGTCTATCGGCAAACACTCAGTTAACAGACCAACGTCTATCGGCAAACAGTCAGCACATTCACATCTATCTGCTCAAAATCCTGCTGAAGAAACACATAACTACTGAAGGGGGGCAAGCAGTAGTCAGTTAGGGGGCAAACTGTCAGTCAGTCAGCAGACCCACATCTATCTATTCACCCTCCTGCTGAGGTACACACATATCCAGTCAGACAATCAACAAGTTTGTCAGTCGGCCTTGACAGCTGAAAAAAGTTAATGTTTTCTTTCCTTTTCTTATACACGACATCAGCAATGAAAATTCTGCATCTATATAAAAATTATTAAGTAGGGCATACCTAACACTACTCGATCAGTTTTTTAATATATTTGTCAAGTCACAATAAAAGATGATAAAAAAAACTCGGAACTTTGTCCCTGCTTCTATCCCTGAAGACAACAGATGAAACACAACATTTACCTTCTTCCCTGTGACCTCGTTCACGACCGAGTCAAGCAGACTGGTAGGTGGTGCTGCTTTCCTCTTGGCTGTTTCATAGCCCAGGTCCTGAAACATAGTTTGTTTGTCGTTAACAGGATAGTTTACAGTCTTCTTTACAGATTTGTTTGATGGCTTGTACTTTAACACCTAACTTAGCAGTGTCCAAGGTAAATCATTCAACACTTAACTGAGCAGTGTCAAAGGTAAATCATTCAACACTTAACTGAGCAGTGTCCAAGGTAAATCATTCAACACTTAACTGAGCAATGTCCAAGGTAAATCATTCAACACTTAACTGAGCAATGTCCAAGGTAAATCATTCAACACTTAACTGAGCAATGTCCAAGGTAAATCATTCAACACTTAACTGAGCAATGTCCCAGGTAAATCATTCAACACTTGAGCAATGTCCAAGGTAAATCATTCAGCACTCTGAGCAGTGTCCAAAAATCATTCAACACTTAACTGAGTAATGTCCAAGGTAAATCATTCAACACTTAACTGAGCAATGTCCAAGGTAAATCATTCAACACTTAACTGAGCAATGTCCAAGGTAAATCATTCAACACTTAACTGAGCAATGTCCAAGGTAAATCATTCAGCACTTAACTGAGCAATGTCCAAGGTAAATCATTCAACACTTAACTGAGCAATGTCCAAGGTAAATCATTCAACACTTAACTGAGCAATGTCCAAGGTAAATCATTCAACACTTAACTGAGCAATGTCCAAGGTAAATCATTCAACACTTAACTGAGCAATGTCCAAGGTAAATCATTCAACACTTAACTGAGCAATGTCCAAGGTAAATCATTCAACACTTAACTGAGCAGTGTCCAAGGTAAATCATTCAACACTTAACTGAGCAGTGTCCAAGGTAAATCATTCAACACTTAACTGAGCAATGTCCAAGGTAAATCATTCAGCACTTAACTGAGCAATGTCCAAGGTAAATCATTCAGCATTTAACTGAGCAATGTCCAAGGTAAATCATTCAACACTTAACTGAGCAATGTCCAAGGTAAATCATTCAACACCTAACTTAGCAGTGTCCAAGGTAAATCATTCAACACTTAACTGAGCAGTGTCCCAGGTAAATCATTCAACACTTAACTGAGCAGTGTCCAAGGTAAATCATTCAGCACTTATCTGAGCAATGTCCCAGGTAAATCATTCAACACTTAACTGAGCAGTGTCCAAGGTAAATCATTTAACACTTAACTGAGTAATGTCCAAGGTAAATCATTCAGCACTTAACTGAGCAATGTCCAAGGTAAATCATTCAACACTTAACTGGGCAATGTCCAAGGTAAATCATTCAACACCTAACTTAGCAGTGTCCAAGGTAAATCATTCAACACTTAACTGAGCAGTGTCCCAGGTAAATCATTCAACACTTAACTGAGCAGTGTCCCAGGTAAATCATTCAACACTTAACTGAGCAATGTCCAAGGTAAATCATTCAACACTTAACTGAGCAATGTCCAAGGTAAATCATTCAGCACTTAACTGAGCAATGTCCCAGGTAAATCATTCAACACTTAACTGAGCAATGTCCAAGGTAAATCATTCAACACTTAACTGAGCAGTGTCCAAGGTAAATCATTCAACACTTAACTGAGCAATGTCCAAGGTAAATCATTCAGCACTTAACTGAGCAATGTCCAAGGTAAATCATTCAACACTTAACTGAGCAATGTCCAAGGTAAATCATTCAACACTTAACTGAGCAGTGTCCAAGGTAAATCATTCAGCACTTAACTGAGCAGTGTCCAAGGTAAATCATTCAACACTTAACTGAGCAATGTCCAAGGTAAATCATTCAACACTTAACTGAGCAGTGTCCCAGGTAAATCATTCAAGTGTCCCAGGGAAATCACTTAACTGAGCAATGTCCAAGGTAAATCATTCAACACTTAACTGAGCAGTGTCCAAGGTAAATCATTCAGCACTTAACTGAGCAGTGTCCAAGGGAAATCATTCAACACTTAACTGAGTAATGTCCCAGGTAAATCATTCAACACTTAACTGAGCAATGTCCAAGGTAAATCATTCAACACTTAACTGAGCAATGTCCCAGGAAATTCATTCAATGCCTAACTGAGCAATGTCCCAGGTAAATAATTTAACGCTAACTGAGCAATGTCCCAGGTAAATAATTTAATGCCTAAATGAGCAATGTCCCAGGTAAATCATTTCATGCCTAACTGAGCAATGATATGACAACATGCATCAACTAAGTCAGCAAGCCTCACCACCAAATCCAGTTCATTGCCTCATAATGGACCAATTCTAGAAGCGCATAGACTACTCTAAGGATTGGGTACTGAGATCCTAGAGTCACCACCTCACCTCGTCATCCTCTCGCTTGTCCTCGGCCCCCCTCTCCACGACTACTCTAAGGATTGGGTACTGATATCCTAGAGTCACCACCTCACCTCGTCATCCTCTCGGCTTGTCCTCGCCCTCCCACGACTACTCTAAGGATCCACGCCGGGCGGAGCTGCTGTAGGAGTCCACGCTGATGGCGCTGATGTCCGAGGGGGTTCTGTGGTGGCCGCCGGTGGGACTTTTCAGGACACTCATCTCTCCCTGCAGGTTCTCAAGACGCTGCTGCAGACGCCCGTGTTCTCGAACCATCTTCTGGTGGTGGCTTCACTCCGACTCAAACTCCTCCAACAAGCGCTTGTTAGCAGCTTCCAGCTTCTCCTTGATAATTTCTGGAAGAACAAATGAACTTGACTTCAGGTTAATTGGGTTCTAGGACAATAAAGACAAGTACATGTTAGCCAGAATAGTTTGTTTTGTTTGTTTGGTTTTTAAATTACATTTTGCGGTCTTAAATCAACGATAAAGGACAGCAAAATTGAAAACAGTGTAGCTTCAGGGCTCCAGATAAGGGCTGTATCGGCGTATGTACGGATATAACATAAGCACGATACGGTAGGAAACAATTTAAAAAACGTAGCAGATACGGACCACAGCAATGGTGTACGGTTTCAGAATCATTTACAGACGTATTTATCTAAAAAGTATTGTTTTATTGTTTACTGACCTGTTTACACAAGAGTAGCAATGTTGTGGTGCATATATGAAACGAAACACAAGATTACTGATAACGCCATTAAATTCCATTCAGTACTCTAAATGTACTCTTATTGTTTTCCAGTACTCCTATATTGAAATAATAAGGAGTACGTACTCCTGATCATGAAAAATTATCTGGAGCCCTGTAGCTTTATATATTTTAATTCTAACCCAGATCTTCATGTGTCGCCAGAACTGTTGTGCCAGAACATATATATATGGTTGTCTTTGGTAACCTTTTAATACTAAACCTTTATATAACAATAATAATAATAATGTATTTATAAAGCGCCTAATATCCACCATAGAGATGCTCAGTGGCGCTGTGACAATATTGGGGAAGCAAATAGTTCATATAACTTTACAGAAAGGCAGCAGTGAACAGATGAGTCTTTAGCAGAGATTTAAAAGTTTCTTTCAATGAAATGTTCCTGATTTCCTTTGGAAGAGAGTTCCACAGTTTAGGGCTGGCAAAGGAGAAGGCTCGGTCAGACAAATGGTTTTGAGATCTGTGTTGGGTGAGGAGAGAGTCAGAGGAGGATCGGAGACGTCGCTGAGGTACATACACGGAGACAAGATGTTTCAGATAGTCGGAAAAGTTATCGTTGTAGAGGCAGTCATGAGTCAGAATGAGGATTTTGAAGGTAATTCTTGCAGAGATGGGGAACCAGTGTAGAGATTGTAGTACTGGGGTGATATGGACATGACGATGAGTGTGGGTGATACATCTGGCAGCAGAATTTATACATGTATAACCCTGTTCACAAACAGAAAATAATTTTACCCAAGGGAGGTTACTCTAGTGGTACATACGTGCATTCTGTTCTTCTTGCTGTTTCAGAAGGAGGTTTGCTGCATCAAGATCCTCCTTAAGAATCACTTTCTCTTCTTCATACTTGGTCAACATCTGAAACACCACCATCATCATCATCATCATCATCATCATCATCATCATCATCATCATCATCATCATCATCAAACATATTATTTTGACAGAAAAATATGGTTCTTCATAATCCTCAAAATTGAAAAACAACAACATTTCAAACAAAAAATTGAATAGGCAGAACTTAGCTGAACAACTTCCTTTATTTTGAAAGGTTGATAACGGTACAAGAATCTGTATAGGAATGTCGCATTCACTATAAAAACGAAGCTGTTATGCATCAAGTTTGTTCAGCTAAGTTCCAGGCCTACCACAGAAAACTTTCCCACTGTGCAGAAAAACGCAGAAAAGCCCACATTAATCATGGAAATAGCAACATAAACATAATACCTCGCTACTGAAACAGTAAAAACAACAACGAAAAACTATGATACTGCAACATTTTTACATCAGCGAACTTTGACCTCTACTGCGCATGCCCATTATGATCCGCGCATCATTCCAATTTCCGAGCAACCGTGAATCGCCACGCGTAGGAAAAGCATTAAATATGTCGAAATAATTGCTGTCAATCATTTCATACAAATGGAAAGTAAACTAAACAAGTGTGCACACAAGTAGCATGATGATAAATGCCAAATAACACAACAGAAATACTTAAAAAGGAATGTAGCTTTTGTCCAAGCTGGAAAATGTCAACATGTGGTCGAGACTTCCTCTTCCATGTGCGCATGAGCAAAATCAAAGTTGCAGGCTCTTCGTTTTTTGTATGCAGTTTTAGCGACTTAAAGTTGCCGTTTTTACTATTTCAGTAGCAAGGTATTGTGTTTATGTTGCTATTTCCACAATTAATGTGGGCTTTTCTGCATTTTTCTGCACAGTGGCAAAGTTTTCTTTGTTAGGCCTGAGTTCTGCCAATTCAATTTTTTTCTTTCAATTGTTTATTTCAATTTTGAGGATTATGAAGAACCATATTTTTTAGGTTTTTCATCAAATAGATCACATAAGTTATCAACATATCAACAAAATCAGAATGAAACATGTATGTACCTTTTAACAAGAAAACAGGAACACAGATATGAAACCTGTGTTAATTAAACCGATATATTTCAAATATCGACAAAACCAGATCCATTCAAACCTGATAACCCAACTGACCTCGTTCAAGTTTTTCTGGAGCAGCTGTTTCTCTGATATAACGTCTTCCTTCTCTCCTCGCTCGTTGTCGAGGTCTTGTTTGAGACGGGCAATCTCCTCCTCAAGTTCACGCACGCGATTTGATGATGTTTTGGCAACCTGGTCTGATGATCGCAGTTTCTGGATCTCTTCCTTCATCTCTTCAGCGTTCTTCTCGCTTTCCTTGAGCACTTGAACAGCCTTAGCCTGAAATGGAGCCGTTAGTCAGAAGTAACAACTAAGTGAGTGAGTGAGTATGGTTTTACGCCGCTTTTTAGCAATATTCCAGCAATATCAGCGGCGAGTGGTGAGTTCAGTTTTAACACCAGAAATGGGCTTCACACATTGTACCCATGTGGGAGGAAGTCAGAACCACTTTCCATTTATATCCCAGGTCTTTAATGTGGCAGGGAAGTGAGTGAGTGAGTTCACTGGCTAACCCACTTTCCATTTATATCACAGCATGTCATACAGCAACTAAGAAGTGAGTTGTTTTAACACCACTTTCCACTTATATCACAGCATGTCATACAGCTTAATGTGGGAGGAAAGTGAGTGAGTTCAGTTTTAACACCACTTTCCATTTATATCACAGCATGTCATACAGCTTAATGTGGGAGAAAGTGAGTGAGTGAGTTGGGTTTTAACACCACTTTCCATTTATATCACAGCATGTCATACAGCTTAATGTTGGAGGAAAGTGAGTGAGTTAGTTGGGTTTTAACACCACTTTCCATTTATATCACAGCATGTCATACAGCTTAATGTGGGAGGAAAGTGAGTGAGTGAGTTCAGTTTTACGCCACACTCAGCAGTATTCCAGCTGTATGGCGGCGGTCTGTAAATAATCGAGTCGGGACCAGACAATTACATGATCAACAGCATGAGTCTCGATTTATGCAATCAATATACGATGACATGTGTCAACCAAGTGAGTGAGCCTGACCACCCGATCCCGTTAGTCACCTCTTACGACAAGCATGGGTTACTGAAGATCAACTTCTAACCCGGATGTTCACGGGTGTGGGAAGAAAGCGGAAAGTGACATTGTATAACCTTGTCTGCCAAACTCATTGAATGTAAAGCTATATTCCTGACAACATTGTTTTACTTTGACTTCCACAACATAGACAAAAACTACACTCTTGAGAACATAGTAGTATCTGGAATGCCAGCACATTTACATAAAGCTATATTCCTGACAACATTGTATTACCTTGACTGCATATAGTACAGTACACAACACACTAAAATTACTTGATTGGGCCTCTCTATTTCCTGTTTAGACTGTTGAATATTCTATTACCTTGACTGTCATCATATTAAGCTACATTCCTGACAACATAGCATAACCTTCACTTTCCAGCACAAAAATATAAAGCTATTTTCCTGACAACATAGTTTTAGCTTGACTTTGAAAAAGAACACTTTTATGGTTAGACAACTTCTTTGTTGCAGTAGATGCAGTTCGTTGCAGTATCAAGCAAATAACGGTGTTAGGATCTACACCGAAACGTCACATCTACTGCAACAAAGAAGTTGTCTAACCATAAAAGTGTTCCTCTTCATCATACCAGCTTCTAAATGCCACTTAAAGAAGTTACCTGACTTTCCAGCACAAAAATATAAAGCTATATTCCTGACAACTTTGTATTACCTTGGAATCAAGCTTCTGTTGGAGTTCAATAATCTTGTTCTCCAGGCCCTTGTTGACATGTTTGATGTGTTCTACAGACTTGGCCTCAATCTGAAAAGAGGGAATAAACAGATTGATAAACACTGACAGACATGCGATATAAATGTTAACACCAGAAAGAGAACAGTCTTGATTACTTGCCCCATGCGATTTCATTTTTTTGAAGGTCAAAAGTGAGATGAAGATTACATTGACAGATCACTAAAATATCAGCAATGACACCAGGTGTTCATGTTCAGGCTAAGTGTGTAAAGCTCTACTGGCAGCACCCAATTTCCATAAATGATTGTTCCACAACTAAAGGGTGCAACTCTGCACAGTCACTTTCTGAGTTCACCACACATGGCATTATTCCAGTTTTATGGCCTGTAAAAACATCAAGGACCAGCTCGACCACATGACCATGACTAGGACCAGGACCATGAATAGGACCAGGTCTAGGACTCGAACCAGGACCAGGAATAGGATCAGGTCTAGGACTAGAACCAGGACAAGGTAAAGGATCAGGACTAGGACAGGGACCAGGAATAGGACCAGGTCTTCTTGGATCAGGACTAGGACTAGGCCCAAGTCTAGGACAAGGTCTTGTACCAGGAAGGGGACCAAGTCTAGGATCAGGACTAGGACTAGGACTAGAACCAGCAGGACCAGGACTAGGACCAGAACCAAGACCAGGTCTAGGACAAGGTCTTGGATCAGGACTAGAACCAGGACCAGGTCTAGGACAAGGTCTTGGATCAGGACTAGGACCAGGACCAGGAATAGGATCAGGACTAGGACTAGAACCAGGACCAGGTCTAGGACAAGGTCTTGGATCAGGACTAGAACCAGGACCAGGTAATGGATCAGGACTAGGACCAGGTCTAGGACAAGGTCTTGTACCAGGAATAGGACCAGGTCTAGGATCAGGACTAGGACTAGAACCAGCAGGACTAGGACTAGAACCAGGAATAGGACCAGGTCTTGGATCAGGGCTAAGACTAGGACCAGGACCAGCTGATCCACCAGGACAAGAAGCAGGACCGGGAGTAGCACCAGGACCAGGACTAGGACCAGGACCAGGAATAGGACCAGGTCTAGGACTCGAACCAGGACCAGGAATAGGATCAGGTCTAGGACTAGAACCAGGACCAGGTAAAGGATCAGGACTAGGACAGGGACCAGGAATAGGACCAGGTCTTCTTGGATCAGGACTAGGACTAGGACCAAGTCTAGGACAAGGTCTTGTACCAGGAAGGGGACCAGGTCTAGGATCAGGACTAGGACTAGAACCAGCAGGACTAGGACTAGAACCAGGAATAGGACCAGGTCTTGGATCAGGGCTAAGACTAGGACCAGGACCAGCAGGACCAGGACTAGGACCAGAACCAAGACCAGGTCTAGGACAAGGTCTTGGATCAGGACTAGGACTAGAACCAGGACCAGGTCTAGGACAAGGTCTTGGATCAGGACTAGGACCAGGACCAGGAATAGGATCAGGACTAGGACTAGAACCAGGACCAGGTCTAGAACAAGGTCTTGGATCAGGACTAGAACCAGGACCAGGTAAAGGATCAGGACTAGGACTAGGACCAGGTCTAGGACAAGGTCTTGTACCAGGAATAGGACCAGGTCTAGGATCAGGACTAGGACTAGAACCAGCAGGACTAGGACTAGAACCAGGAATAGGACCAGGTCTTGGATCAGGGCTAAGACTAGGACCAGGACCAGCTGATCCACCAGGACAAGAAGCAGGACCGGGAGTAGCACCAGGACCAGGACTAGGACCAGGACCATGAATAGGACCAGGTCTAGGACTTGAACCAGGACCAGGAATAGGATCAGGTCTAGGACTAGAACCAGGACCAGGTAAAGGATCAGGACTAGGACAGGGACCAGGAATAGGACCAGGTCTTCTTGGATCAGGACTAGGACTAGGACCAAGTCTAGGACAAGGTCTTGTACCAGGAAGGGGACCAGGTCTAGGATCAGGACTAGGACTAGAACCAGCAGGACTAGGACTAGAACCAGGAATAGGACCAGGTCTTGGATCAGGGCTAAGACTAGGACCAGGACCAGCTGATCCACCAGGACAAGAAGCAGGACTAGGACAAGAAGCAGGACCGGGAGTAGCACCAGGACCAGGACTAGGACCAGGACCATGACCATAGGACCAGGTCTAGGACTTGAACCAGGACCAGGAATAGGATCAGGTCTAGGACTAGAACCAGGACCAGGTAAAGGATCAGGACTAGGACAGGGACCAGGAATAGGACCAGGTCTACTTGGATCAGGACTAGGACTAGGACCAAGTCTAGGACAAGGTCTTGTACCAGGAAGGGGACCAGGTCTAGGATCAGGACTAGGACTAGAACCAGCAGGACTAGGACTAGAACCAGGAATAGGACCAGGTCTTGGATCAGGGCTAAGACTAGGACCAGGACCAGCTGATCCACCAGGGTGCCGTTCCACTAACCGATCTTATCTAAGATCAATCTTAGCAAGTTACGCCAATTTTACAATCGTCTTAGCTAAAAGTTACACCCGTTCCACTAACCGATCTTAGGCGACCAGGAGCCGGTCCAGACTTAGGATCGAGACTCTTTAGGATGCGAGAGGCAACATTGTTTTAAGGAATGGAGAGTTACGAGGATATTACCCTACTTAAATTACATTCAAAGTATTGGGAATATTTCTGTTATCAAAGTTATATGTCAAAATGACAAAATGAAGTCTTTAATTTGAAGTTGGTACACATGGCTCCATTCCTGAAAAGTAATGGAGCCAGCAGATGAATGGAATGACGCACAAAATGTAATTTAATCTTGAATCAGCAGCTTTGCCTTTAGGAATCCCCACCAAATATGCGCAGTGAAATCAAACATATTTTATCTTTTGCCAGGACATTGTTCACCAGGGCTGTCGTTGGATTCTTAACCATGGCGTTGCAATATTGTTGTACAAGTGTCACCGACTAGTTGTGTTCTATGATGAGTGGGTCAGACTGGCCTGACATTTGTAAGGCTTCAGTGCAGTGTTTGTTTACATCACAGAAATATACAAATTCATTTCATGGGGATTTTTAGGACTGAAATGCTCGCTCTTATTTTTCACATAGAATAGGAAAGCCACCATTTTGGTTTCTCTACGATTGATTTTAGCTATCCTAAGTTGGTCATGAGCAACTTAGACTTTGAATCTTAACTTTACGATTGACTTAGGTAAGATTGGTTAGTGGAACGGTATGCCGATCGTAACTTCAATCGCTAAGATTGGGATTTTAGAGGGTTACCAGGACATAGCTGATCGGTTAGTGGAACGGCACCAGGACAAGAAGCAGGACTAGGACAAGAAGCAGGACCGGGAGTAGCACCAGGACCAGGACTAGGACCGGGATCAGGACCAGCTGATCCACCAGGACCAGAACAAGCACTAGGAACAGGAGGACCAGGATGCCTCAACGCTACGACAGTCCTAAGTCTATGTAAGGAGTTACGATCACCTTAGCACTAAGATCACTTTGCACAACAGCACCCTGAACTCTAACCAGCAATCTCGTCACACATTAAACAAAAGGATCATCCGTCTGGCCTACACCATGCAAGTCTGACCTTGAGAGTCTTCAGCTCCTTCTTCGCCTTGCGTCTGCGGACATGGGATTGAAGGAGAATGATCCCACGCATCACTCTCTTGAACCTCTTCCTGGCCAGGAAGGCACGGATCGTCCGCTGTATCGCTATGGCACGGTTCTGCTTCAGCAAGCCAATGTAACGTTCACGAGCAAAGTTGCCTCGTATCTTGGCCTGCGGGACAAATATACAGGTAATCAAGAATCTGTAACATACTTTTTAACAATTCAATATGTATCTGAATCTCCTATAAAAATCAACTTGGGTCAAGGAATAATTTGGACTAGTGAAAAATGATTCCTGATAACCTTTTAAATAAGTCCTTTTGACAGACACCATCTGTACTGTTTCACTTAGTTTTATAATCAGTCAACACACACACACACACACACACACACACACACACACACACACACACACACACACACGCACACACACACACACACATTTAACATCAACAATATAGGACAAACTTTATGGATAACAACTTCTTTTATTAAGTGAGTGCGACATACACACTTGTACACAAGCATGACACACATATTTACTTTCCCAACTTCAAAATGCCACTGAAATTTAACATCAACGTCTGACTTATTTTATTTTTGTCTTCATCGAAAACTGCTTGTTACAAATGTAATTATTGGATCCTATGGTACAGCATACAGCACAATAACATTGCTCTATAGCACCATCATATTTCCTGTAAGACCTTGAAAATTGTATTTGGGGTTCTGGATGCCTAGTTTTTGGAAGGCAACATTAAAACCCTTTGGGCGAACTGAATACCTGAAAATAGTATTTGGGGTTCTGGATGCCTAGGTTTTAGAAGGCAACATGAAAACCCTTTGGGCGAGCTGTGTACCTGAAAATAGTATTTGGGGTTCTGGACACCTAGCGAGATATAAAACCCTGTATACCTGCAGCAGGATGACAGATGCGCGCAGCTTGTTGTAGACGGACCACTTCCTGTAGCTTCTCCACTTGGACTGGATGACAGTGGCAGCATGGGTTTGTCGGAGGTGTAATGCCTTTCTGATGACAATATAAAACAGTGAGTGAGGGAGCAAGTTAATCTTTTAGCAGGTATACCATTGGTTTTAAGTTAGTTTCACACCGCTTTTAGCAATATTCCCCCAATATCATGGCGGGGGACACCAGAAATGAAGGGTTTCAAATCGCTGTTATTGGTTTTGTATTACATGGGGTATGCACATTAAATGAAACCCCGAGAACAAGAGGCATTGGTTTCTACGGTAGCTAAGTTAACGCTCATCATGCACCGCACATGCATTTGTTTCACTGTTCCAACTACTGTGCATACCCCCTTGTAATACAAACCAATAATAGCGATTTGAAACTATGATTGTTTGTTAAACAACTTTTATCCTAAGTTGAATAAAATTCTGAAATTTGAATGTTCAATTGGCAAGGTAAAATTATGAGGATTCGCAATCTTAATTTCACTTTGTTTGATTTACTTTTTTGTTTAAAGTGAAATTCATCGGTACGTTTTCACTGTAAACAGACTATAAATCCTCATTGAGCTCAACAGCCTACCTTCAAGCCAGCTGTCCTAATCTCCCTAACTCCCTTAACTGCACCACAGGAGCTAAATCTCCAGTGTGTACAAGGGCAAACCTTAAATAGAGTTATCTAGACTCCAGCAACACAACACAAGTCTAAATAGAGTCACCCTAAATAGACTGCAACACAAGTTATCACCCTTTACTTCTAGACCACTTCTAAATAGAGTTATCAAAGAGCTAAATCTCCAGTGTGTACAAGGGCAAACCTTCTAGACTGCAACACAAGTCTAAATAGAGTTATCACCCTTTACTGCCACTTCTATACAAGAGCTAAATCTCCAGTGTGTACAAGGGCAAACCTTCTAGACTGCAACACAAGTCTAAATAGAGTTATCACCCTTCACTACAACTTCTATACAAGAGCTAAATCTCCAGTGTGTACAAGGGCAAACCTTCTAGACTGCAACACAAGTCTAAATAGAGTTATCACCCTTTACTACCACTTCTATACAAGAGTTAAATCTCCAGTGTGTACAAGGGCAAACCTTCTAGACTGCAACACAAGTCTAAATAGAGTTATCACCCCTTCTACTGCCACTTCTATACAAGAGCTAAATCTCCAGTGTGTACAAGGGCAAACCTTCTAGACTGCAACACAAGTCTAAATAGAGTTATCACCCTTTACTACCACTTCTATACAAGAGCTAAATCTCCAGTGTGTACAAGGGCAAACCTTCTAGACTGCAACACAAGTCTAAATAGAGTTATCACCCTTTACTACCACTTCTATACAAGAGCTAAATCTCCAGTGTGTACAAAGGCAAACCTTCTAGACTGCAACACAAGTCTAAATAGAGTTATCACCCTTTACTACCACTTCTATACAAGAGCTAAATCTCCAGTGTGTACAAGGGCAAACCTTCTAGACTGCAACACAAGTCTAAATAGAGTTATCACCCTTTACTACCACTTCTATACAAGAGCTAAATCTCCAGTGTGTACAAGGGCAAACCTTCTAGACTGCAACACAAGTCTAAATAGAGTTATCACCCTTTACTACCACTTCTATACAAGAGCTAAATCTCCAGTGTGTGTACAAGGGCAAACCTTCTAGACTGCAACACAAGTCTAAATAGAGTTATCACCCTTTACTACCACTTCTATACAAGAGCTAAATCTCCAGTGTGTACAAGGGCAAACCTTCTAGACTGCAACACAAGTCTAAATAGAGTTATCACCCTTTACTACCACTTCTATACAAGAGCTAAATCTCCAGTGTGTACAAGGGCAAACCTTCTAGACTGCAACACAAGTCTAAATAGAGTTATCACCCTTTTCCAGTGTAGAGAGTATCTCCAGCCTGTACAAGGGCACTTCTAGACTGCAACACAAGTCTAAATAGAGTTATCACCCTTTACTACCACTTCTATACAGGAGCTAAATCTCCAGTGTGTACAAAGGCAAACCTTCTAGACTGCAACACAAGTCTAAATAGAGTTATCACCCTTTACTACCACTTCTATACAAGAGCTAAATCTCCAGTGTGTACAAAGGCAAACCTTCTAGACTGCAACACAAGTCTAAATAGAGTTATCACCCTTTACTACCACTTCTATACAAGAGTTTAATCTGCAGTGCCTACCTTCTAGCCAGCAGGCCCCGTCCAAATGTCTGCACCAGTAGCACGGACTTCCTGATTCTCTCGTACTTGCGCCGCAGCAGCCAGCCTCGGATGTGTTTCTGTATCATGACACCGCAGGCACGAAGCTTGTCGGCTCTCAACTTCTCGAGGTACGCCACCTGACCCGCTCGGAAGAATATCTTCGTCTTTCCAAACCTATACTTGTCAGGGTCCTGCATTGAGGAAGACAATCAACTTTGTGAGAGATAACCAAGGACAGCATGAATTGAAACAATACTCCATATATGTTACAGTTCCAGGAACATTTCAGAGCAAGAACCAGGATCTTTGCAGGTACACGGTCTAAGAAGAAAAAAGAGCTCATTAACCCTTTCATCCAAAGATCAAACGGTACAATTAATTTGTGCAAAATATACTACCCATCAAAAGTTTAGACTCGCTTAAATCAATCACTATAAGTTTTGTATGTACATATGGTTACAACGAAGATGAATGTCTCCGCTAACTTGGGGGAAACATCTGCAAACCTTATGCAGATTAATTGCACTAGGATCATGCATCAAATTGCTGAAAAGCATGTGCAAATATTGTGCATGTGAACAGCTGCGCTTTGGTGTAAAGTTTTGATAAAAAAATCGTCATTTTTCACTGAGTTTCATCATTTATTGAACACATGACAATAAACTTTTCAATGTCACAAATTTGTTTTACAATACATCAGCTCATGTATAAACAGTACCTTTAAACTGAACGGATTATTTTACAAAATCTAGTTCAGAACAGTTGACTGAAGTAAGTGGCTACATTTACACTAGTGAGTCTGAACCTTTGATGGGGAGTATAGATATTATTTAGTCATTCAAGAACAAACAATGAACTCAAACAATGAAACAGTTCATTCCTGCTTGACAACGGTACAAGAATCTGTATAGAAACGTCGAACTCACAAAATAAATAAGTTTGTTATTCATAAAGTTTGTTCTATACTGTATGTCTCAACTTTTAAAATGACATTCAAACAAGAATCAATGATCTCATATTATTTGATTTTCAAAAGTAAATTCTACAAAACCACCATTTCTATAATTTCCAGAATGAAGTGAGGGAGTGAGTGAATTTGGTTTTATGCCGCATTCTGCAATATTCCAGCTATATGGCGGCGGTCTGTAAACAATCGAGTCTGGGCCAGACAATCCAGTAATCAACAGAATGAGCATCGACCTACAATTGGGATACGATGACATGTGTCAACAAAGTCAGCAAGACTGACATTCGTCACCTCTTAAGACAAGCATCGGTTACTGAAGATCACTTCTAACCCGGATCTTCATGGGACCCCAGAATGAAATAAAAAAATACATGATCTCTAAATGGTCTTCTTTAAGCGAATTTATCCAAGATTCCATGTTTTTGTAGTCGTGCCCTGCAGTTCTGTAAGAGTCCATAGACATTTCCATTGTCATGCTGTATAATATGTACAGAGATGAATTTTCTTTACACATCCAGAGGTGATATTTGTTTTCATTATTTGTTTCATAAATGACACAAAACTATCAAATACTGACTGACTGACTGAGTTAGGTTTTACGCCGCTTTTAGCAATATTCCAGCAACATCACGGCGGGGGACACCAGAAATGGGCTTCAAACTATCAAATAATTAAAACTACATGCATCATGAAGTTCTTGAGAACAGAATACGACTGTACAGTAAGGAGAACATTCTTGTCTTGCAACTCCCACTAAATACTCACTGCAATCAACTTGATGAGAATGTTTTCACATGTCTTCAACAGGTTCTTCTTGATGATATCCTTGGAAACAGCCAGCACACGATATCGCTGGAAAAACTCGGCATAGGTCCACCTGGAAATCAGGATATGTCAGATGAGGGTGAGTGAGTGAGTGAGTGAGTGAGAGAGTGCGTGTTCAGCTCAACGTCACTTTGAACAGTATTTAGTTTCTGGTTGACTAAAATGATCGATAATCAGAAATATCTTCGCCGGAAAATTTAATAACGATTATCGATATGACAATCGTGTCAATGATAATAGCACATATAAACTATTGTGATGATAGTTTGCGCGATCAAATAAATGTCACTTGGAACAGTATTTAGTTTCCTGGTTGGCTAAAATGATCGGTAATCAGAAATATCGTCGACGGGAAAATTTAATAATGATTATCGATATGACAATCGTGTCAATGATAATAGCACATATAAACTATTGTGATGATAGTTTTAATTACTTGGACAATACACAAAGGTAGGCCTTTAATTATCAGCTGCTTCTGAATTACGTTCATGATTCTGTTTTGTTAGTAATCCAGGCCCCAATTTGTAATTCAAACATTTCGAGGATTCACAAAAATTATTTCATTTGTCACACATATGTTCTCATCAGATACAACAGGTCAGGTGGAACATGTCCAGATATCCACTCTACTAACATCCTTTACATCGAGTACCATATTTATGCCCGATATTGATTAGCGACATAACCTGTGTTGCCAGGGGCAACCTGTAATATTTACCTTGATGGGTACCCTGCAGCGCTGATGCGGATAGTCTCCAGCACACCACAAGCTCTCAGTTGCTCCACAGCTCGCTTTGGATTGAACCTGAAAAAACAAGTCAGTCGTAATAGCACCCAAACATAATAAAACAGAAAGAGCTTGGACCAAAAAATAAATAGAATTGGTTCTCAGGCACAGGCTGCTGAAAAAATGGTATGGGCAGGCGGTATATTTATTTATCTTTTTAGGAGGGTGAGATGGGGAATGTGTTTATCCTGTTTTCAGCAGTTTATAACCAAACATGCATCTGTCTCATTTTGGTTTATATACAGTGACTGACTGAGTTAGGTTTTACGCCGCTTTTAGCAATATTCCAGCAACATCACCGCGGGGGACACCTGAAATGGGCTTCACATATTGTACCCATTTTGGGATTCGAACCCGGGTCTTCGGCGTTTATATACAGTGGGGCGGTGGGGTAGCCTAGTGGTTAAAGCGTTCGCTCGTCATGCAAAGACCCGGGTTCGATTCCCACATGGGCACTATGTGTGAAGCCCATTTCTGGTGTCCCCCGCCGTGATATTGCTGGAATATTGATAAACGCGGCGTAAAACTAAACTCAGTCAGTCAGTCAGATACAGTGAATTAGTATTTTTTCACTATCTGACTGAACAAACACGATCCAAACTGAAAGACCTTTAACTGTAAATATTTAATAGCTTTTACATTTGATTCCTTGTTCACGAAGTAAGATTTTGTTTGTTTATTGAAACGTTAATTCCAGCAAAAGAAGAAGAAGAAGAAGAAGAAGAAGAAGTTTATTCAGTACTGATTTTATGAGCAACTATAAGATGACAACGGCAACCAACCAGCCAAGCCACGGAGTCCGACCTCTATCATGTGATATCATTCAACAAGCACTGCACCTGGTCTTACGTTGAATACCGACAGGATGCCCTACAAAGGGATCGAACTCCCATACTTTAACATAGACTTACGACATCGTAGAGCTAAGCTTGCTTTGTACAACTGCACCTAGGTGTCCAAACTGTGATAAAATAGTGACAACAGACAAAATAATGGCGACATCCCTTAGAAATCTGGAATTGTGCCTATTTCTGTTTTTCAGCAATTAAAAAAATAATAATAATTAAAAACGTCAATACGTGATAGTGAATAAAACTTATGAAAGAGCAAACTCCACTCAGGGTCAAGACATCAATACAATCACGGCAAACAAACATTTGCTGAACAAATATACTTACTGGAAACTTCTTGAAAGTCATCCAAGTACTAGAATCTGAACTTAACCAAGGTGTCACCTCAAATATAACGCTTGTTTCGGTATCTGCTGAAATGTACAAATCTACTTACTCGAACGCTTCTTTCAAGTCATTGGGTTTGATACAACGGATGTAGTGGGGCGTGGTTGCGTTCAGCGTCTCCATCAGAAGTTTGAGAGAGTCTCGGAACTGTGATCCAACTGTTTTCTTGTGTTGCTTGCTACCCGTCTTGGCTGACTGGCGGAGGGGAGTGACCGTCACTGACCCGGACCGTCCCTTCTTGTCACCCGCCTCTTCAAACAACTGGGCCACCATGTCAAACTGAAGATATAAGTACATGTGAGGTGAATTTAGGTGAAGTGAGGTGAGTTTAGGTGAAGTGAGTTGAGTTTAGGTGAGGTGAGTTGGTGAGGTGAGGTGGGGTGAGTTTAGGTGAGGGGGTGAGTTTAAGTGATTTGAGTTGAGGTGACTTATGGTGAGGTGGGTTCAAGTAAGAGGTGGGGTGAGTTTAGTTGAGATGAGGTGAGTTTAGGTGAGGTGGGTTCAGGTAAGGTGAGGTGGGTTGGGGTGACTTTAGGTGAGGTGAGTTTAGGTGAGGTGGATGTGAGACTGTATTTTCACACAGAAGATATAAGATCATTTAAGGTAAGGCTAGGTGAGGTGAGGTGAGGTGTGAGACTGTGACATCATATTGTAGTTGTGAAAACATTTAAGGTTAGATGGGGTAAGGTGAGGTGGACGTGAGGCTGCAAGATCATACTGAAGATATAACAACAGTTAAGGGGAGTTTCGGTGAGGTGGTAAGAGGTTGCAACATAAGAAAATAGGGTGAGGTGAGCTAGGTGAGGTCAGGTGAGATGAGGTGAGTGTGAGACTGCAAAATTCTACTGAACATAATGAACATTTGAGGTGAGGTGAGTTTTGATGAGGTGAGGTGAGTTTAGACAAAGTGGTCTTTTGTAAGTTAGTGAGACCTAATAAGCAGAAAAGAACAGATGTCAATTAACCATCAAAAACTCATAATACAAGAATCTTTGTTCCCTGGGTCATAATCTAACATTCAGGGGAGATAACTCATGTCCAGGTTGAGTCACATGGACAACTTAGAAAGATTCGACTGACACCAGTTGAAGTACCCTCTATGTTGCTCAAGCAGTTGTTGCCGGCACAGGTACTACAGATATGTACCTGAGGTACGTTTCTGTATACACATATCTACCCTTAACAAAGTCAAAATACAGAAACGTCCACAGTACCCTAAACATCAGACGATTCCACAACGCAAAACTGAAACAGTATGCAACTTATTATCTGTGGTATTGTACATCTGAAATATTCGTCACTATGTACCGGTTTCTTATATAATGCAATCAAATGCATCTCATAACAATAATATGACTGTTCCAATCAAGAAAACAGCACATTGTAGAATATCCCAGGGTAGGTATGTGTATTCAGATTTTAGCAGAAAGTCTACGATTGAGTCAGATGGACAAGTTATGTTTCCACCTACCTCGCTGGCCTTGAGGATGTTGATCTGCTCTTCCAAGATGGTGTCCCTGTTCTTCTCCAAGAAGCCGTCTGCTGTGTACGTCACTCGGTCCGCGAAGTGGATGATGATGAAAGACTTCATGGACATCCTTGGTTTGTCAAAATGCTTGGACTTCTTCAGGTGTTTATCAAACAGCTTCTGACACCAGTTCTGGTCAGATCCTTTCGGCATCTGGAAAATATTGACCACTGGTTATTGACTCAGTTCATGCTTGTTGCTAAAAGCTGTACTAAAATATGTACAGGAATATCGGTTTATAAATCAATAAGTCAAGACCAGACAATCCAGTAATAAGAGGCGTCTAACGGGATCGGGTGTCAACTTGGTTGACACGTCATTGTATCCCAATTACATAGATCAATGTTCATGCTGTTGATCACTGGATTGTCCTGTCTAGGCTCGATTATTTACAGACCGCCACCATACAACTGGAATATTGCTGGGTGCAGTGTTCAACAAGCAAACAAGCAAACAAAACAAGACTGTAAGGTTTAGCTTCCTGTTAATTAAGATAGAGATGGGAAAGATTGCCATATTTTGTGACTTCTTTTTCAGTGCTTTTAGCAGTCTTTTCATATATATATATGAAATGGCAACTAATGATATGTCTGTCATCGCTAAGATGTCTGTCATCACTAAGATATGTCTGTCATCACTAAGATATGTCTGTTATCACTGTTACATCTGTTATCACTAAGTTTTGCCTGTTATCACTAAGTTCTGACTGTTATCACTAAGTTTTGCCTGTTATCACTAAGTTCTGACTGTTATCACTAAGTTTTGCCTGTTATCACTAAGTTTTGCCTGTTATCACTAAGTTCTGACTGTTATCACTAAGTTCTGACTGTTATCACTAAGTTTTGCCTGTTATCACTAAGTTTTGTCTGTTATCACTAAGTCCTGTCTGTTATAACTATGTTCTGTCTGTTATCACTAAGTCCTGTCTGTTATCACTAAGTCCTGTCTGTTATAACTACGTTCTGTCTGTTATCACTAAGTTATGTCTGTTGTCCCTAAGATACTATGTCTGTTGACAGACCCCTTATATAGTAGCGCTCATGTAAATTATCTCACCTTGCACTCTTCATCCAGCAGGTCGAGGATCCCCAGCTTGTTCTCTATCAGGTCGATACAGGGCTGGTTGTCATAGAAATCAATAAACGACCACTCGATCTTCTCCCTCACATACTCCTCCTGCTCCAGCTTGAACACATGCTGAAAACAACAAGAGATACCCTGTACTGGCTGGACAACAGCAACAGCAGCAACTACAGCAACAGCAATATAAAACATATTTGGGATTACACTTTCTCAGTAAAATACATATTCTGGTACTTTTGGGGGTAACGTCAAGGAACTGAACCCACTCTCTTGGAGTGAGGCAAATATCTGCCATTAGGAAAAGTCAGAGATCTAACCCCCTCAGCCACCATGTCTTCCACAAAAGCGGAAGTCTGACAACTGGTAGTCCAGATGCCTTGATCACATGCTTTGTGTACATTTCTGACAAGTATAAACTGGCTCCCATGGTCTAATGTATAATTACACAATGCTTTTTACAAAGTGGTCAAAAGTAATTTTTTAGAGGCACTGTGCATTCATAACAAGAGCAATATTAATGAGGACTTAGGAAGGATCTAAAGATGAAGGTGTCTACCAATGTGGTGAAACCTGGAGCATGAGTGGGGTGAAGACAAACCTGGAAACATAATCTGAGTTGAATCAGGGATTGAACCCATGACAATAGTTTCCTGGCAACCAAAGGGACACAACCCTGCACGTCAAACTTATAGCATCACATCCCACAAATCGCCACATCTTGAAATTGAAGCTTGTGAGTTGTATGCAAGAAATAATAGATATGAAAACTGAAGAAAACAAAGACTTATAAGTTTTCTCACCACCCAATCCTGTTAGTGGCCTCTTAAGACAAGCATGGGTTGCTGAAGACCAATTCTAACCTGGATCTTCATGGGTTTTGTGCAGTGTAAAGACTGAAGAAAGTGAAGACTTATGGCGGTGAGGTGAGGTGAAATTAGGTTAACGTCGTTCTTGAGAATATTTCGCTCATATGACGACGTGCATGCGTGTGTATGTGTATGTGCGGCTGCTTGTACTAGCCCAGACTGAAGCTGGTTTTAGAGTGCTAGCTCACTGAGATACCATGCCGCAGTGAAGCATGAATACCCCACTCAGACCCATTATACTGACTCCGAGCCGACCAGTCCTTGTTGTACCCATTAATGCCGAGCACCAGGCAGGGACCAACAAGTACCATATTTTAACGTGTTTTGGTATGATGCGGTCGGGGATCGAACCCGCGACCTTCCGTTCTTGAAGACTTATGGCAGACATAATGACAGTTCAGATCCACTCACCATATTGAATATCTGCTGCAGTTTTTCATTTGCGTAGTTTATACAGAACTGCTCAAAACTGTTGATTTGAAATGTTTCAAACCTGGAAAACAAAATAAGAGAAGTCATAATACAACCAAAAGTAAATCTCCATCTTCTTCTAACCACAACATTCCTCATCCACATCTAGATGAAACCTCCCAGATACTACTAACTCCAGGGGTTGACAGTAGTGTTAGGAATTGGTTGAAATCTCACAACTGATGATTGCTTCATTACCAACGAACAATCATCGACAAAAATTGGTTAGCATCATATTTCAGATTTTCCTATCCAGGTTGTTATTGCTGATATGTATAACATGATGCAACTTGCTACTTAAAGTGATGACTAATATATCATGAACATAAACTTCCCGGAGTCTATAAGAAATATTCAGTCATGGTTTTTCAGTTAGTGAAGTGAGTTTTCTAGAAATAAAACACGTTTTCAGGCCCTGACAACATCAACGATATGTTCCATTGTCAAGTATTTCAAAGACTAAAACAGTAGTTCCAAAATCGTTTATGTTCGATTATGAGAAAATGTGATCGATTGCTTGGTCGTTTGGTCACTGCGACCAATCTTCTATTATCTAAATTAATCGGAACACCACTAGTTGACAGGATTGGCCATATCCTCATATCGGGGGCGCGGTGGGCGAGCTGGCTAAGGCGACAGACTAGTGATCCAGTGAGGTTGAGGTGTCGGGATCGAGCTCACCTGTGACCGGGTGTAAAATCCTTGGAGTCAACTTTGTGTGCAGACTCTTTCAGTGTTGTCACAACCCCTAGTGTACAGTACACAACCCTGCGCACTTAAAAGAACTCATGAATCCGTTGGTATATGACCAGATGGTGGCCACATGAATACGTGCAAACACCTAGTTGCGGGTACAGCAACGTGCAGTGAACTTTGACAAAGTACTGTGACTATGTGTCCCAGTCCACCCAGCTGTGAATGGGTACCTCGTTAGGATGAGAAAGTCACAATAACTCAGTGTGGTGGCAGCAAGACTTGCATACTCCCCAGGGAGTTGAGATTAATAATACAATGTGCCGTTGAGATTGACATCCAACGATTGAGGGAAAAAATGCCAGCGCCTTGAGCATGCACTAGTTGCGTGGATATGTGCACTATATTAATATCCTGTAATAAAAAATATCCAACTGAATATCATTTTGGATTTGTGGTTTATGACAAATGCCTAGATATTTGGAGAGAACAAGTAGGACATACTTGCCACTGAAATGTCATTTCCCAAGACTCTCAAGTGACTTTACCCAATGACGCAATCTAAGGACGTGTTATACCAGTGTGGTTTTGAATACAGATCATTTGTGTGTTCACTTCAAGGACTCATGTTGTTTACTGAATCACAGTACTCATATAACATACATGTCAGTATATCGTTGTCATATATAACACTCCTGTATAAAACATACCCATAAATATCAAGGACTCCTATGAAGTTGAGTTTGTTTTTTGTCTTGACCGAGTTCCGTAGTACGTTGTTAACGTGGGAAACGATCCAGTTAAACATTTGGGAGTATATGTGCTTGGCCAGGGCGTCTCGTGCAAAACTGGCCTGAAAACAGAAAAAATGATCACAGAGTGAGTATTGTCTTCTGCCATGATCAGAAATATTCAAGAAATATTATGAAATTAGTTTCAAATATTCTACCCATGTGAAGCGAGTGAGTATGGTTTTATGCTGCTTTTGGCAATATTCCTGCAATATCATGGTGGGGGACTCCAGTTTGTTTGTTGTTTAATGTCGCACTCAGCAATAATCCAGCTATATGGCAGCGATTTGTAAATAATCAAGTCTGGACCAGACAATCCAGTGATAAACAGTATGAGTATCGATCTACACAATTGGGATACGATGACATGTGCCTGAACACCCGATCCCGTTAGTCACTTCTTGCAACAAGCATGGGGTGCAGAGACCAATTCAAACCCGGATCTTCACAGGTTGAATCAGGAAGACGAGTTCAGGATTACTACACATAAATATTCATATGAGTGAGTGATTTTCGCTGCTTTTAGCAATATTCCAGCAATATCCCTGCAGGGGGAACCACAAATGGGCTTCACACATTGTACCCATGTGGGTAATTAAACCCGGGTCTTCAGCGTGACAAGCGAACACTTTAACCACTAGACTACCCCACCGCCCCAATAACCAATTGAAGAATAACGACCTGCAACATCAGTGGACATAAAGCTAAGAGGGAATCTAGCTGAGATTATTCAAACATTTGGTGTATTCTGTCAGAAACTTACCTGGTTCTCTGTCAGGGGTTTCGTGAGGGTTTCGTTGACTGTCTGGATGGACCGATTACAGAGCCACATCCTCATCTGCGACTCTTCAATGCCAAGCAGGTGACACATCACCGTTAAATGCTCATCTTGTTTCTGTAGAAAAACAAACATTCAAAACTTCAGCAGGTTTCATAAGCATTACTCCCATACAATATGATTCTTATGACCGACTTAGCGCTAAGTCTGTTGGATTCATGGTGCACTGAGCAATATCGAAGCTGTATGATGGCGATCTGTAAATAACAAGTCTTTGACCAGACAATTCAGTGATTGATAATCAGTAATTAATAAATGGTAAAATAATCGTTTACTGCTGTTCTTGCTATAAATATAATCAAATTATTTAAAATATTATGAACAAAATCTGTTAAAAATATTTGTTGAAAACATAGAAGTTAATATGCATCGTTACTTCCATTTCAATAACAGAGGGGAGGTAACTCTGTATTTTTATAGCTGCAAAGTTCTTCCAACTATGTTGAGTGAAGTGATTTTGTCTCTATCAACTTAACATTTTTACACAAATCTTTTTAGTAACATGTGGGATAGACTTACTTCTGTCCTTCTGACCTACTGACCGGAAATTTTTGCCAAAAAAATATAAACACCCCTAAAAAGAAATTTGTCCAGCATACAATAATTGTAATCCTGCGAACCCTGGTAAGCAACTGTTCTCAGGATTTGGTTTGTGCTAGAACTTACTGCTGGTTGTTTTTGTTTGCTTGTTGTTTAACGCTGCACTCAGCAGTATTCCAGCTATATGGCGCCATTCTGTAAACCATCACGTCGGGACCAGACAATCCAGTCAATAACATCATGAGCACTGATCTACGCAAGTGGGATACCATGACATGTGTCAACCAAGTCAGCGAGTCTGACCACCCGATCCCGTTAGTCGCCTCTTATGACAAGCATGGGTTGCTGAAGGTTCATTCTAACCTGGATTCTAACCCTGGGGAACAAGCATGGGCTGCTAATGACTAGGGCTGGGTATTGCAGAGAATTTTCATATTGCAATATATTGCGATAGGTATTGCAATATATTGCAAGAAGTTCTTTTTTAACAAAAAATTACTTATAATCGAATTAATGCTTGATTTATAAAGCAAAACCACAACAAAATCAAAATGCTTGATTAAGCTTTAATAAAAACTTTTAATCATGACAAAATAAAAATGTAAATAATATTTGGCACAAAGGAAAGGAACAATTCATAAAACGGAAATATCCGAAGATTTCCGAGTGTTACGAAGTCTTTTCGAATGCATGTCAAAACACCGGTTTTCAATCACCGTATTGCAATACGTATCGTTTTCATGTCTGAACCGGTTATATTACGCACCCCTACTAATGACCAATTCTAGACCGGATCTTCACGGGTGGCTACAACTTACTGGAATCTCACAACACTCGCCCTCCTTCTCTCTGACGACAACGTTGCCGAAGTGTAGTACAGAAGACATGATACGGAAGATCATCATTTGATCCTTGCCAGAGAAACCTGGAACACAGAACATGAGCATCAGTAAGATTGTAACCACAATACCTTCCCAAGTGCTGACACCTGTGACAAGGTCATGTCAAGGGCTTGACACCCTCCGAGTATCATCACTGCCACCAGTGGCATCAAGCTGCCATCACAGGAATCTAGGTTTCGCTCTTACATCAAATAAGGATGTTTGGAATATATTCTCCCTCAGAATTCTCACAGATAAACAATGGCATGTGTAGCGACCATAAAAGTTATAAATCGGTTTATTATGCTCAATTTGATATGAAGATGCTTAGCCATTGAAGCGGACGTAAAATGTCCGAGTCCTGTGCTGGGATTCAAATCAGGGAACTTCTGATCTGAGGTGAGGTGAGGTGAAATTAGGTTTAATGTCGCACTTGAGAATATTTCGCTCATATGACGACGTGCATGACGACGTGCATGCGTGTGCCGACCAGTCCTTGTTGTACCCATTAATGCCGAGAGCCAGGCAGGGACCAACAAGTACCATATTTTAACGTCTTTTGGTATGACGCGGTCAGGGATTGAACCCGCGACCTTCCACTCTCCGGGCGGACACTCTAACCACTACACCACGGAGGCGGTCACTTCTGATCTGAAGTCACACACCTTGTCCACATGACCAAAGAGGTTAATCCCATCAGCAAGCTGACAAGGTAAGGATGTCATCTGTAGGATGACTCCACAACCTACTACATACCCCCCCCTTAACAGGGCACATCCCTGGCTGTATAGTAGGGTCTTGGGACCAATTTTGCTAAGATTTAACATGAGCACACTCACACTGACTGACTGACTGAGTTTTGGTTTTACGCTGCTTTTAGCAATATTCCAGCAACATCACGGCGGGAGAGACCAGACATGGGCTTCACCAATTGTCCCCATGTGCGGATTCGAACCCGGGTCTTCGGCGTGACGAGCCAACGCTTTAACCACTAGGCTACCCCACCGCCCCAGCACACACACAACCATGTTAGGCACCAATGTAGCAGTCTTACAAGGTGTGGGTCTTGTGCTGGAATTCGAACCGCAGACTTTTTAAACTAAATTTGGATGCCTTGTCCACATGACCAAAGAGGATAAGAAAGTCATCTGTGGATGACTCCATGCCCTGCTACATATGCAATAAACAAAGTCTGATAGATCTGTTTGACTGGTATTTTAGAAGGTGATGAATAATACGAAAGGTATGATCCTTTATGAATGACAACTTGTTTATAATATTAAAATGTCATATAATAAAGAAGTTGTCATCCATAAAGCAGGGGTGGAAATAACCCATTGCCCGACGCCCGAGTCCAGTGTTTTTTTCTGTCGGGCAAGCAAATTTGTATATCACACTGTACCGGTGTCCAGTTGATATTCCAATATTAATTATGTTGATTATTTTGAAAATCAACAAGAAAACAGCCGGGATAGAGGAAAAATTATCAGGGCAAGTGAATTTACATGTGCCACTGTACCGGAGTACACTAGCAATTTTAAAGTTATTTCCACCCCTGCATAAAGTATCATATCTTTCTTACAGTCTGATAGACTGGCAATCTGATCCATTGATCTGCCTCTGAGACAAACATACTGTATATTTATGGTGAGCCGACATCACCACAAGGGCAGAGGGGGTTACCTAGTAAACTGAAAGCCTCCCGTAGAACCTGAAAGTCACTGGCATCGTCGACCCCATTGATCTCCGGGCTCCCTCCATGACAGGTGTAGAAGAAGTCATCGGCTGACTCTGTAACACAAGACAACCACAGTTTAGACAAGAAACAATTCCAGTCATTTCCAGTTTCACATTCAGACCACCGCCCCTTTTCATGCTAAGACTATCAAAAGTATGGCAGTTACTGTCAACCTAGCATTACGATCGCTTTGTACAACAGCACACAGGCTGACAACCGACTCCATTAGGTTGCCTTTGACAACAAGAACAGGTTAGTGGGAATGAAAACTGAAACAGGATTTAAGTGCATGCCATTTTTGTACATACTCAGCTTCATTTCGGCAAGTTCTGGCAGGCTGGCTGATGCACAGAGCTGGTAGAAGATGTGGTAGTTTCGCTCCTCCTCCGCCTGGAACACCACTCTGTAACACAATGGGACATGCCACTTTAACACAATGTATCACAAGGGGTAATGCTTCTATAACATAATGTAACACAAGGGGAATGTCTCTTTAACACAATGTAACATGGGAACACCACTTGAACACAATGTAACACAAGGGGAATGTCTTTTTGACACAATGTAACACAAGGGGAATGCCTCTTTAACACAATGTAACACAAGGGTAACACAAGGGGAATGCCTCTTTAACACAATGTAACACAAGGGGAATGTCTCTTTAACACAATGTAACACAAGGGAATGTCTCTTTAACACAATGTAACACAATGTCTCTTTAACAAATGTAAGGGAATGCCTCTTTAACACAATGTAACACAAGGACATAACCAATGTAACACAAGGGAAATGCCTCTTTAACACAATTGTATGTTCAATACAGCATAACACTCTTTAACACAATGTAACACAAGGGGAATGTTACCTTATGTAACACAAGGGAATGCCTCTTTAACACAATGTAACATAACACACATGACAATGTAACACACAAGGGGAATGTCTCTTTACACAATGCATAACAATGAATGTCTCTTTAACACAATGTAACACAGGATGCACACTTAAGACAATGAAACAAAATATTTAACACAATGTAACACAAGGGGATATCACTTTAACACAATATAACACAAGGAGGATGCACTCTTAGACAATGAAACATGTTAACCTTATAATATTACATAACAAAAAAGTCCCGGGTTTGAATTGGTCTTCAGTAACCCATGCTTGTCTTAAAAGGCGACTATGCTTGCGACTTGGTTGACACATGTCATCGGTTCCCAACTGCGCAGAAAGATGCTCATGCTGTTGATCACAGGATTGTCTGATCAGACTTTAATTATTGTACAGACCGCCATATAGCTGGAATATTGCTGAGTGCGGCATAAAACTAAACTCACTCACTCACATAAGTAAAAAGTACAGCATACAAGCTCTAATGACAATGTCATAAACTTGTGACGTGATTGTGTCACAAGCCATTTTGTGACGCCATGAATAATGCCAGCAGCAGCTGGTTTGGGAGACTTAATCTACATGTATATTTGATTCAATCTAACCTGGATTTCTCCAGCAAGTACGTCCTCATGTTGGCTCCGATGATTTCGTGCTTCCTGCTGAACGTGATCTCGATGTATTTACCAAACCTACTGCTGTTGTCGTTCCTTGTTGTCTTGGCGTTACCAATAGCCTGGAACAAAGCAACGACACAGTTTGTGAAACTAGTGTGGGGAATCAACCACTCGACCACCTCAGCTTCCACAAAAATTCAAGTCCGACAACTGGTAGTCTAGATGACGTACTTCGTGACAAGTATGGGTCCCATGGCCAAAATCTATGAGTACTAGTGTTGGGAATTGGTTAAAATCTCATAATTGATGATTGGTTCACTAAAACCGATCGATCATCGAAAATAATTGGTTAGCATCATTTATCCAATCTTCCTGGCTGTGTTTGTTAATGCAGAAAAAATATAGAAATAACATGTAGTTCTTTCGGGTTTTTTCGCAAATTGCACAAAATGCATTTGCAAATTTCACATCTTTAAAGGATGTTAGGAACATAAATTTCCTGGAGTCTTTAAGATAAATTCAATCATGACATGGAACGAGCTTGTAGTGCTTATGAAATGTAACAGACAAAACCAACCTTGTGAAAAATGTTGCTAATGCAAACAATTGTTCCAAAATTGTTTGTGTTCAATTATGAGAAAACATGATCTATTGCTTGGTCGTTCAGTCATTGCGACCAATCTTTGATTATCTCAATTAATCGGACCACCAATAGGTGAAACTGGCCTGGAGTGAGTGAGTTATTATTTAACGTCTCATCGGCAATATTTCAGCCATATCGTGACGAAAAACTGGCCTGGAATATCAGGGAGCTGGATATTTGGACTTATAGTCTGTGACAATAAACTTGTGGCTTGACATCTAGGGGTTGAGTGAGAGAGTTGTGTCAGATTGGAGAAGAAGTTAAATCTGAAGAGATGCAGGTCATCACTAGGACTGCAACAATTCACCCAGACTTCAATTTGATTCGATTTTCAATATTGAACCATCGATTCAGTCATTTTCGATTTGATTCTTCAAACAAGTAAAAACATCAGATTTCATTTCACTCTCAGAGTCGGCTTTTTTATCGTGAAATCCATTGTCAACCATGTCTACGAACAATAACTCTCATTGGATAATTAGCCCGGCTTCAACCAATCACGTTTTGCCTTATTTCACAGCTCGAAACTGTTAAGTTGGAGTCAAAATTACATTCAAGCTGTGTGGAAATAATTTGAATAAATATTCAAATATCCAATCGAAATAGTGATAATGGTTATCAAAAATCGAAACTTATGTGTCAGATTTGATTTTTGATGAAACGAGCCGAATTGTGGCAGCCCTAGTCTTCACCACTTTGGTTAAAACCACAGACACTACCATATCTCCATGACAGGTTTATTCTGGGACTATGCCACCAGGATGGGCTTACTTTAGTACTGACTGACTGAGTTTGGTTTTACGCTGCTTTTCGCAATATTCCAGCAACATCACAGCAGGGGACACCAGAAATGGGCTTCACACATTGTACCCATGTGGGGATTCGAACCCGGGTCTTCGGCGTGATGAGCCAACGCTTTAACCACTAGGCTACCCCACTGCCCCGCTTACTTTAGGAGAAACGTACCTATAGGAAAGGTTTATTTTCTAGAACTTGTGTGCTTTAAAGATTTTATTTTAAAACTACAGAGCTACAGATAACTTTTCGGGTCATTGAGTTATGTAGTCGCTTGTGTTCCTCTCAACTGGGTATCCAAATTTTCCTTTCAGCAACCAAATAAATTGTACTCACCTCCCTCAAACTCAATTGGGCATTTCGCCATTTTCCATTAATTTAAAAAATATAATAAAGTTTAAATGTTGGTTTACGTGTTTGTTATTTATATTTGATCTGTAATATGAGAAACCATAAGAAAGACTGCAAGTTGCCAAGTTCATGTGCTGAAATAGAACCTCTCAACATGCCTCAGTTATTTTATCTATCCACCGATACGCAAACTAGAACTTGACCTTTTTGTGTCTACGGATGCAAGATGAAATATATTGAGTAGTTAAGTACCTCCATGATTGGGTTTGAGGCGAGAACCTTCTTCTCGACTTGCGTCTCACTGTCCGCCTGGGACCCCCCAACTGTTGCAAAGTATCGCATGGCGTACTTAGCAGAGACCGTCTTTCCAGCACCAGATTCTCCACTGACGATAATGGACTGGTTTTCATCAAACCTGAAAAAATAAGGGAAGAAAATAATGTAGAAATCCCTTTTTATGCATGATAGTAGAAAAACCAAACTACATCTGAGTCTAACAAGCAGAACACAGTTGTGTATGAATAAGTATGGTTTAGGTCACTTTTAGCAATATTCGACCCGTGAAGATCCGGATTAGTATTGATCTTCAGCAACTCATGCTTGTTGTAAGAGGTGACTAATGGGTTCGGGTAGTCAAACTCGCTGACTTGGTTGACACCTGTAATTTTATCCCAATTGTGTAGATTGATGCTCATGATGTTGATCACTGGATTGTCTGGTCCAGAATATTGCCGAGTGCGGCATTAAACAACAAACAATCAAATCAATCAAATTTAGCAATATTCCTACACTATCATGGCAGGATACCAGAAATGGGTGTCACAAATTATACCAACGTGGGGAATCAAACCCGGATCTTGGAGTGACAAGCGAACCCTCCTACCACTAGACTACACACAAAATATATAAAAAATAAGCATGTCATCATAAAGATAGTCACCGCATGTACAGGCAGGTTAATATACTGAAATGAAAAGAAACTACAGTCTCACAGCCACAACATCATAATTAGGGGTGTCGCGATACGCGAATGTATCGATACATTTTTACTGACGATACGATACGCGATACATGCTAGCGTGTATCGATTCCTATTTTAAAACTTTATTGATTCAAATTTTTATGCTATATCCATCTCCTTCAAAGTCTGGATAGTAAAATTATACGAGACCGCTCCGATAAATAGATGTAGCTAGCTTTACTTAAAAAATAGGTTGGAAACTAACAGCTTTTGTGATTGGCTAGACTATTTTGATGGACCAATCAGCGAGCGTGTACGTTGCCGGTAAGGTAATGCTAGGAAAAGGCGCAAAAATTATGTATCGCGATTCGTATCGTATCGTGACCTTAAAATCGTGATACGTTTCGTATCGTGAGATTGGTGTATCGTGACAACCCTAATCATAATATAAATAAATGTCACCTTGTCATCTTCTTGAATGCCTCCTCTGCAACGGCGAAGATGTGGGGGTCCATAACGCCCATGTCCTGGCCGCAGTAGGCCTGGATGATATCATTGTTGTAGATGTCTAACTGCTCGTACGGGTTGATGGCAACTAACACTATACCTGTACAACATGAAGGAGGTGTCAGGTGAAACATGGTCTAAATCTGCATTCAACATTATAGCACTTCAGGATAACAGTAATTTTTAGACAGCTTTAACGTCTTGGTATGACTTGCCGTTGGTTATAACCCAAACCTTAGCAAACACTCTATCCACTACATTATGGAGTGAGTGAGTGAGTGAGTGAGTGAGTGAGTGAGTGAGTGAGTGAGTGAGTGAGTGAGTGAGTGAGTGAGTGAGTGAGTGAGTGAGTGAGTGAGTGAGTGAGTGAGTGAGTGAGTGAGTGAGTGAGTGAGTGAGTGAGTGAGTGAGTGAGTTTTAGTTTTATGCTTCTTTTAGCAATATTCGAGCAATATTAATAATCTCATGGCATGATATCTAGGAACTGAGAGAGTGAGTTTGGTTTTACGCTGCTTTTAGCAATATTCCAGCAACAGGGGTGGAAATAACCCATTGCCCGACGTCCGAGTCCAGTGTTTTTTCCAGTCGGGCAGGCAAATTTATATATCACGCTGTACCAATCTCCACTTGACTTTCCAAAGTTAATCATGTTGTTTATTTAAAAAACAAGAAAACGGCCGCTTAGGAGGAACAAAATTATCAGGGCAAGTGATTTTACATGTGCAACTGTACCGGTGTACACTAGCAACGTTAAAGTTATTTCCACCCCTGAGCAACATCCCGGCGGTGGGCGGGTGAGTGAGTGGTGAGCGAGTGAGTGAGTGAGGGAGGAGGGAGGAGCGAGCGAGCATTGTTTAATCGCTGCTTTTAGCAATATTTCAGCACCGGCTCGGGACACCAGAAATTGGCTTCACACATTGTACCCATGTGAGGAATCGAACCCGGGTCTTTAGTGTGACAAGCAAACACTTTAACCACTAGGCTACCCCACCGCTGACTTACAATATGGATGTGGTCAGAGCGAACAAAGGATTTGACAAAAAATTTGAAAAGGCAGCAAAAGGGTCCATTTTATTTATATGGTTTGACTAAATGTCTCTGTATACTAAACAACAATCTCACCCAGGATACGATGAATTTCAAGCCAGTTTTTCACACTGATGTCAAGTGATGAAATAAAAAGTTCTAAGAATGTGTATTAGCTACGACCAGAGATTTGCACAGAATCATTCTGTTTAAGTACTGGTTGTTAAGAGGTGAGGTGAGGTGAGGTAAGGTGAAATTGGGTTTAACGTAGTGCTTGAAAATATTTCGCTTATATGACGACGTGCATGCGTGTGTATGTGTATGTGCGGCTGCTTGTACTAGCCCAGACTGAAGCTGGTTTAATTGTGCTAGCCCACTGAGATACCATACCGCAGTGAAGCATGAATACCCCACTCAGACACAGTATACTGACTCTGAGCCGACCAGTCCTTGTTGTACCCATTAATGCAGAACGCCAGGCAAGGACCAACAAGTACCATATCTTAACGTCTTTTGGTATGACGCAGTCGGGGATCGAACCCGCGACCTTCCGCGACCACGGAGGCGGTCAGGTTGTTAAGAGAGCACCTCTCTGAACTAATACTTCACAGCATGGTAGCTGGATGTTGAAAGGAGAACCGGAACTGAACTACATTTACCAGACAAAGTCTAAAAGCATAATAATAATAATAATAATAATAATAATTAATTTGTATAGCGCCTATTTTCCAACTTTGAGCTGCTCAATGGCGCTGAACAGGGTAGATAATTATTTACATATCATATGCTTGATTAAACAGGAAAGTTTTTAAACAGTTCTGGAAGGAGTGAGTGAGTGAGTGAGTATGGTTTTACGCCGCTTTTAGCAATATTCCAGCAATATTACGGCAGGGGACACCAGAAATGGGCTTCACACATTGTGCCCATGTGGGGATTCGATCCCGGGACTTCGGCGTGACGAGCGGACGCTTTAACCACCAGGCTACCCCACCGCCCCATTTCTGGAAGGATTTGTGAGAGCTTGCTGTTTTGAGTTCAAGTGGTAGATTGTTCCACAAGGTAGGGGCAACTTTGGAGAAGGCACGATCAGCAAGTTTAGTGGATGTTGAGGGAACGAGAGATTGTACATATTCTGAGATCGGAGATATCGTCCAGGTGTATACATCTGGATCAGGTCCTTTAGGTAGAGAGGGGAGAGGGGACAAATAGCATAGGTATGATGCTATTAAATTTTACAAACATTTTTAGAGATTCGCACTCATGATAACTGGATTCTGTCATGCCCAAGGGACATAACTCTCCTAGTTTGTGGATGTACTTACCACAGTATGTATAGATGAGGTTTTGTTGCACAAATCTGACCTGCAGATTGTACAGAACTGAAACAGAGCAGCAGAACATTACAGGTGTGAACAAAACATATTTCTGATGTAAACTTCATGTAGGTACAAATTCTGTATTGAAAAAAATAGTTATTGCAAGTCTGTCAGTTTTCTAAAAAACATTGCTGGAAGATAATGTCTTCTGTTTCTGTGGCTTGTCGTCAGACGAGAACATAGTTTTGTCGAGTATCAAAGTATGGACATGACGAACAAATACTGTCAGCCCAGTAAATTTGTCATTTGCAGCCTTATACGACTTTCTTCTGAACACTGTTTTTATAATACTTACACCCTGGTTCGTTCAAGTGAGTGAGTGAGTTTAGTTTAGTTAAATGCCACACTCAGCAATATTCCAGCTATATGGCGGCGGTCTGTACATAATCGAGTCTGGACCAGACAATTCGTTCAAGTAACTGAGGTGAGATCGACCTAAGACGAATTACTTCTGAACAGTGTTTACATATTACTTACCTTCTGGTTCGTTCAAGTAACTTAGAGAGGTGAGATCGTTTTCACCGATCAAAATATCCGGGTTTCGTAAATGAGGCAGATTCTTGTCTTTTATTTCTATGGCAGATTCCTGAAAAACATCAAGTACAGTCATTGATATAGTGACAAATATTCCATACTTCCAGTATCTTTGCAATAAATATTGGCTGACATACACCCAGAGTCATTAATATACTGAAGTGTTGTGTTTTTTATTTATCATGATTTCTACAATAAATAATGACAAACAATCATCTATCATTGGTTGCATTAAGTCAATATACTCATGTAAAGAAATATCAAAAGATGGATGAAGGGAAAGTAAACCAGGGCTCCAAATAATTTTTCAACATCAGGAGTACGTACTCCTTATTTGTTCAATATTGAATACTGGAAAACCTTAAATGTACATTTAGAGTACTGAATGGAAGCTAATGGACTATCAGTAATCTTGTGTTTCGTTTCATATATGCACCACAACATTGCTACTCTAGTGTAAACAGGTCAATAAACAATAAAACAATACTTTTTTTCAGATAAATACATCTGTAAATGCTTCTAAGACCGTACACCATTGCTGTGGTGCGTATCTGCTAGTGTTCTAAATTATTTCCTACCATATCGTGCATATTTTTTATCCGTAAATACGCCGATACGGCCCTTATCTGGAGCCCTGGTATTCTATACATATAATGGGGATTATTCAGCAACTTCTCTAAGTGGCATTCAACAAGACTTTGAACAATAAATAGAATTTGGATACAAAATATAACTACAGTATATTTGATTCCATTATGCAACTAGCAGATATGTTCATCTACACTAAAACATATTCAATTATGACAATAGTGCATTCAGATTACCAATTTCTCTCTTGACTTTTGTGTTGGAGTTGACAGGTGAAAAATATATATTTGTCTTGCCTTATTCTAATGTACCTGAGTAACCAAAACTTAATCTATATAAGTATATCAATTAACATATAAATTATGCTTTTGAGGCTCATTTTATTTTCACTTGTCAGCAAAAATGTATCAGACAGGAAGTTGAACAGGTAAAGTCATTAGCCCTTTATGATATTTACAAGCCTCGGACATCTGGGCTAATAGTCCAGTACTGAACATGGGTATGTGAGTGAGTGAGTTTAGTTTTACTGTAAATAATCGAGTCTGGACCAGACAATTCAGTGATCAACAGCATGAGCATCGATCTGCGCGATTGGGATATGATGACATGTGTCAACCAAGTCACCAACCGATCCCGTTAGTCGCCTCTTACGACAAGCATGGGTTACTGAAGATCAATATTCTAACCCGGACCTTCACGGGTAGAACATGGATATGTACCATGATGTTGTACTCATCTCACAGTACATCGGTAAGTCTGACTTTAGTAACAAGCAGTCCTGCTTAGATCGTTTATTCTGTTTTGGTTCATTATTGATGATAAGAACAAACACAAGTTCAAAGTATTTCTGCCTCAGTGATGACAAGTAACAGCTGAACGAAGAGCTCAATTCAGCGCCACAAAATCAATTTACCATTTTTTCTGCACCGACAAACGTACACCATCATATTGCCATTGTGTCATATGAAGTTGCATCATTATAATGATAATACCATTCGATTGAACAAATATTCCATAAATAGTTCAAAGATTTGTATTCAAAGCTATTTATTGTCAAATAACAATGAAAATATAAACAAAATGATAAATAAAAAACATTTGTCAGCAAGTGTGTTCTTTGCAAACAGAGAACTGGGCCTAGATTTTAGAAGATCTCTTAGAGCTAAGATAGTCGTAGGTCTATGTTAATGTATGGCACTTGCGACTATCTTAGCTCTAAGAGAGCTTCGAAAATCTAGGCCCAGGCTCACATGGCAAATTGAACTACCAGTAACAAAACGGTATGGCTTGAAAATATGCATATAAATTTATAAAGTTACAAAACTCTAACATGTTTCAGATGATATTTAAAATAATTATTCCAACTGTTATTTTCATATCTACAAGATTACAGTAAACACAACATCTACTGACTTATATAATGAGAGATTTATTTATAATAACAGCAATGTAAACATTCAATATATCGAACTGTTTCACAACAACAATCCTAAACAGGTCAAACATGGCAGAACGCAGACATGCATGAAACAACATGCACTATATTAGTAAGAAACAGCAACGAAATCATGCCAATTAGCTTCATGTAAGAATGACATCATGCAATAAACACAGCTGGACTGAAAACTAGGCATTTAAACTCTTCTTAAGTTCATATGGGTGGTATAGCAGAGGTGCAGATCCACATAGAGACCTTTTCATTACGATGATCGCAACTCTCATACTTCAACCAGGGATACAGCAGAGGTGCAGATCCACATAGAGACCTTTTCATTACGATGATCGCAACTCTCATACTTCAACCAGGGATACAGCAGAGGTGCAGATCCACATAGAGACCTTTTCATTACTGATCAGGGCATACCCAGGGATAAAATATTTTTTGTGTGCCTAAGGGCACCAGACAAATAGTTTAGGTGTGCCTTTCAGAAATCGAGTGTGCCCACATGTTTTTAGAATAAATGACAATGATGATGATCATTTGAAATTTATTGTTAAATAAAGAAATGGGTTTATGAGCATTCAAATATGTATGGTATTATTCAGTTTGGAAAAAAATAATTGTTTTGGGGATTAAATGACTGAATGTGAGTTATGTGTCTAGAAAATTAGGCATGCCAAAAGGGCACAGAGAACATTTTTCAGCCGTGCCATTTCAATATTTACTGTGCCATGGCACACTAATATATGGGGTATTTCGAACCCTGTAAACATTAGCTTATGAAGTCAAAGTGCAAAAACTGCACTGCATACTGGGGCCTGGTTCATTACACAAAGCGATCTTAACGCTAAGGTTATAATAACTTTAACATTAGCTTACGAAAGCTGTAGTACTAAGATGGCATTGAGGAATGGGGCCTTGTCCCATCTCACTAAGTAGTCTTAGCGCTAAGGTGATCGTAACTATAGCATTAGTTTACGAAAGTCATTGTGCAAAGATGGCATTTAAAACTCAGGGGCCTGGTTCATTCCACAAAGCGATCTTAGCACTAAGGTTATCATAACTTTAGCATTAGCTTACGAAAGTTGTAGTTCTAAGATGGCATTGTAGGACAGAGCCTGGTCAGACAGCCCACCAAGCAATCTTAGCCAACACCTGTCACAAGCCAATGAAAAGCTCAGGAGCCACCATTATCTCAGCGCTATCACCATTCTGCAGAATCAGGCCAACTGGTAATGTACTACGTAATTTCAAACTTAATTATCTTTGCACATGGAAGGAGTATTTGTCTAGGTTGTAATATCTGTTATACTGTTTAATATCATGCAATAACTCCTGCTAGATATACATATACATCAAACTAGGACTAATTGATTAAACAGTGTGAGAATTCCATGAACTTTAAAGCGGAATATTTTACACAGATGTTTGACAGTGTTAGCTATTATTTCCTTGAGTAGGAGGTTACAGATGAAATTCACAAAGCTGAAAAAAAACAAAACTTGACTTTTTCAAGATAAATTCATGTTTTTCAGCAAGAATCATAAACAAATACACTCTCACTATCTTTAATTCATCCATCACCTTAAAAACAGGTGTTGCTTCTACAATGAGTGAGTGAGTTTAGTTTTACCCGCTTTTAGCAATATTCCAGTAATATCATGGACGGGGAGACCAGAAATGGGCTTCACACATTGTACACATGTGGAGAATTGAACCTGGGTCTTCGGCGTGACGAGCAAATGCTTTAACCACTAGACTACCTCACGGCCCCTGATTCAACAAGGAAAGGAGGCGATGTAGCCTAGTGGAAAAAGCATTCGCTTGTTCTGCCAAAGTCCCAAGGTCAAGTCCCCAGTGGGTACAAATTATGGAACTCTCTTGATACATTTTGTTATCTCTGATATAATTAATCCAAACATTTACCATCAATTCCAAACAAACTAATCTCTAATTTCATATTCCCTTTTCAAAACATGTGGCATCCTAAAGACTTCATGAAACACTTTTCCTCTGACATTTCAAACAGCGACCATTCTACAAATGAATTTCGAAACCTATGCATTCACACATCTCTAAGTCTACTTCTCAAAGACAGGCCGACCAGTTCAGCCTCGGCTCCTAGCACCTATCAACCTAGTGTAGGTTTCAAGATTAAGTTAGCGCTACGGGTTCTGTTGTACAAGCTCTGCTCCACTGGTCATTGATTCTGGGGGTGGTATAATAAGTATATATACCACATTACATCCTACTGATATAATACTGTCGAAATCTTACCAAAGCTTTTGTGATAAAACAAAATTTTAATTCACACACACAGCACACAAAGTTATGTCTCCATTATTGGGCTGCTTCTAAATTATGTCCAGAATGCAGTTTTTGTTCATAATTTATGTATGAGGTGAGGTGAAATTGGGTTTAACGTCGTGCTTGAGAATATTTCGCTCATATGACGACGTGCATGCGTGTGTATGTGTATGTGCGGCTGCTTGTACTAGCCCAGACTGAAGCTGGTTTTATAGTGCTAGCCCACTGAGATACCATGCCGCAGTGAAGCATGAATACCCCACTCAGACACATTATACTGACTCCGAGCCGACCAGTCCTTGTTGTACCCATTAATGCCGAACGCCAGGCAGGGACCAACAAGTACCATATTTTAACGTCTTTTGGTATGACGCGGTCGGGGATCGAACCCGCGACCTTCCGCTATCCGGGCGGACGCTCTAACCACTACACCACGGAGGCAGTCAAGTTATGTATGAATATGTCACAAGGCAAATGTAGCACCCAATGTGCTGCTTACCTCTGAACTTTTTATTGCACTTTTGCTGCAAGATTCCACACCGATATTCATCAATAACGTATCAATATTTAGATAACAATTATTATGATCAATATTGATAGTGAGTGAGTGAGTGAGTATGGTTTTATGCCGCTTTTAACCATATTCCAGCAATATCATGGCGAGGGACACCAGAAATGTGCTTCACACATTGTACCCATGTAGGGAATCGAACCCG